TTCCTATCTATAGTATTTATAGCTTAACTTATTTTAATACTTAAATAGGCTGTAGCTTAAAGCTATACTAAAAGATAAAGACCTTAATTATTATTTCTATACCGGTTTAGCGCTTAATATTACTAGTTCTAGTTACTATATTATAGGAACTAGCGTAATTATATTAGGGGTTAGCCTAGATTTTAAGTCTAATATTATTATATTTATATATTAAATTAGTTTTATTAATAGAGTATTATATTCGCATAGTTAGGATAATTATAGCCTTAATTTCTAGTCTGCATAAACTATTATAGGGCTCTATCTCTAGTCTAATTAGTATTATTAGCATTACTTTAATTTTACCTTAAAAATTTTAAGAAGAGAGAATAATAAGAAAAGGTTTAAGTATTATTATAATTATATTACTAATAATAATATTAATTCTTATCTACTTACTTATACTATATTATATAGGCTTCTTTAACTATTTTAATAAATTTAAATACTATAGTATTCTCTTATAATACTTATATATTATGCTTAAAAAATAAGGAAAATCTGTTTTATATAGCTAATAATTAACTATATATTTCCTTTATTCCTATAGTATACAATAAATATAATACTTATTAAATAAACCCTTAGAGAATTCAGCTAGCTATAATATCTTATATAGTATAATATAAAGACTTAAGCTATTTTATAGTAGTTATAGTATTAACCTTAAAATATTTTATAAACTATAAGATCTAACCTTCTTTAACAGGACGTATACGTAGTATTTTATAGTTATATTTAGAGAGCTTAACTATATATTATTATAGGGCTAAGCTATACAGGAATATTTAAATATAGCTTTATATAATAGATTCTCCTTTTATTATAGCTAAATTATAGATTTAATTAGTAAAAATATAAATATCCCTATAATAAATATAGCTTCCTACTATTATAATAGGACCTGTTTTAATATAGTCTTTATTACTTAAATTAGGGTAGAAATATCTTAGCTCTACCTGCTTTTATAGCGCACTATTAATTATAGCGCTTATTAGTATCTCTAGAGTAAATCTAGCATTTAAATTTACTAAAAGATTATAGCTAAGAGTTTAGTTTTAAACTAGTTATTATTATTAATCTTGCTGTTATTAATATTATTGCTAGAGTAGTTATAGTAAACCGAAAAAACCGAACCGAACCGAACCGAACCGAACTGAACCGCCCATGGTTCGGTTTGGTTCGCTTCCTAGTAAACCGCGGTGCGAGTCTACCAGAACCGAACCGAACCGGTGGTTTTTGGTTTAAACCATTTGAACCGTAATTTTGACCTCGTATTTAAATTACACTATGTAATTTATCGATACTTATATCGGAGGTATAAAATTACTATAGTATTTAGTATATATAATAAAAATATATTAGAAATCGGTAAATTACGGTATTGTAATTTTCGCTTATTTATCCTAATATAGCTAGAGCATAGTTATATAACCGGATCTAACTTAGGTTAGTAACTAATTATGCCGATCCGGTTTTTTTGGTTTTAAACCGAACCACCAGTATACGGTTCGGTTCAGGTACGGTTTATCTGCCCCGAACCGAAAACCGCTACGGGCGGTTTAACCCCCCCCTGAACCGAACCGAACCGCCTATATAACCACTCTAATTATTGCTATTAATATTAGTATTACTACTATTAATAGCTAGATTAGCTATTATTTTAAGCTATATTATTTTATACTATATTATTCTAACTTATAAGGTATTCTATTATTTAGTAATTTTAGTCTAATATAGCCCTTATATTTTCTACTATTTACTAATTTAATTCTATTATTTACTAGAATATCTCTATTAATATAATATTAGAGTTAGTAGCTAGTAGTACTAGAGGTATAGCCGGGTTAGTAATATTTACTATACTATTAATATTCGCTGCTAACTATATTAAGGCTTTACCTAAATAATATAGCAGTAAATCTAGGAAAAAACGCAATAAATTAAATAATAAGACCCTTTAATATCTAGCTCCTTAGCTCTAAAAAATAGAATTTTAAAGTCTAAGAACTAGATCGAGTAAGGCTAATTAAGGAGGTATTATAACTAGAATTTATAATCTAAGTTACTCTTATTAGTATTTATCTTATAATAGAGTTATAGAGGTATTATAAAAATATATAGAATATAGTCTACTTAGTAGCTATATAAGTTCTAATATAAAATTAATTAAGTCTATTATAATAAACTGCTATTTTTAGAAAGTAAAATATTCTATTAATATTATTATAAATTTAAAGAAGTCTTTAATAGCGCTATAAAGAATAAATTAATCTATTACTTATAATGCAAGAAATATAAATTATTTTATTTAAGAAAGTAATACCTATAACTTAATTTAGAATACCTTAATATAAGCTAATAAAATATACTTTAAGAAGTTATATCCCGGGTAATAAAATAAGATAAAATTAATAAGATTAATAATCTTATAGTTAAGCTAATCCCTAAATTAAGAAGTTACTATTTTTAAAAAGCTACTAGACTATATATAAGCTCTAATATCTCTCTAAATAGTATAAAGAGATATTAGCTTTAATCTATTTCTTCTAAAGGCTAGTTTATTATAGAGGCTTAATCTTAACTTCTCTAGGTAAAATATTTAATAAAAGAGACTAAAGCTAATTTATAATAATACTAGAGATAAAAATAATAAAACTAATAATATAATATAGGATTTTAATAATAAAAATAGGGCTTTAGATATAAATATTCTTAGCTAACCTATAGTATCTCTAGGCGTAAAATATATAAAGAAATAGCTTAATATAAATATTTTAATAAGAGATATTAAATTAAAGCTAATAGAGGCAGAACTAAATAATATTAAGATAAATCTTAATAAAAAGAATAAATAATATAAAGATTTCTAATAATAATAGATAACTTTATATATAATAGAAAAAAGACTATAGATAATCTATTAGCATTAAAAGCTAGTTTAAGATAATAATTAAATAGTATAGCAGATTACTATAATAGTTTTTAAGATATTCTTAATAATAGTTAGGCCCTAGATAACCTTAATATGCTACTAAATTATTACAGTATAGGGGATAAAGAAGTTATTCTTCTATTAGCTATATAAGGAAGTAACTATATAGCTAATCGTTGCCTGAGGCTTCTATGCCTTATATCTTTATACCCTACTAAGGTAGCAGGCAGGCGATGCTAAGGTAGTATCGTACGCCTATATCTATATTATATATAGGGCAGTTTATAAATGCTAAAAGATAGCTTTATATTTTTACTTGCCTAGAGAGATAAATAAGTTAATTAGAGTAATTAAAGCAGTTAAGATAGCTAAGTAGGCGAGGTAATTAAGATAGCTACTTAGGTAAATAAGCGGATATAAGATAATTAGATAATGCCTATTATATAACTTTAAAAATTAAAATACTTATTAAATTATTTTATTAAGATTTACTCTAAATATACTATATATAATAAATAATTTATTTTTTGCTTACTATTCTGCAGGCTTTTAAAGGCCTTTTTAACTATAGATTATTTACCTGCGGAATTATCTATTAATATATAATAAAGAAGCCAGCGCTAAGAATACTATCTCTTAACCTAATAAAGGCTTACAGCAAGGATATTATTATCCTGCTTATTATAGACTATAAATATAGTTAAGATTTAGGATAAATACTTATTATAAACTATTAAAGTTATTAAATATTATTAAAGAATATTAGTTTTATAGATAGAATTTATAATTATTAAATAGCTATAGTAAATTAAGTAAGTAAGTAATTTCTCTTAAATAAATATAAGGATATAAGAATATTTACTATCTTTATAGACTATATTTAATAACTATATACGCTAGTTCTTTTTAAGCAATAGATTATAAAAATAATTTATTTAGATTTCTTATAGATTAATAGCTCTATTAAATTTTAAATTAAGATATTACCTAAGATAAGATTAACCTATATTATAAATATTTTAAATAAATAGAATAGCTTTACTAATACTAATAATAGCTTTATAATTTCTATTTTAAGTATTAAGTAAGTTATTCTTTACTTTCTTAGGCCTATATCTTTTTTCTACCTCTATAATAATAAGAGCTTATATAATATTAATAACTTTATATTTTAAAGCTTTATAATTATAGTTATAAGTATTATTAATAAGCTTAATTATTATAGTTTTCTTATTATTTATAACTTTTATTTTAAAGAGATAGCTTATTTATTTCAGTATTATTTACTAATATTAGTGTTAATTAAAAGTAATACTAAGAATATAGTCCTTTTTCTACTAAAGGCAATATAAATAATAATATATTATTAGGTTTTAGAGTTTAGCACGCTTTTAATTAAGGATAACTATATTATTAATATAAAAAAGTATAGATTTAAATTTAGCAGATAATATTATAATCGGCTAATTATATTTTAGACTAAAGAGGTTTAAATAAAAGATATTAAAATATGCTAGCAGTAGTAAGAGACTTAATTTTATAAGGGTATCCCCGCTTAGGGGATTAACTAGAGTATTTAATTTTATAGTAATTGCTATATTACTATAATAGGTTAAAATATACTGAACTGAAAAGCTTTAAATCAATCTAGAAAGGAAGGGGGAATAATTAAGATGTGGGAAATAAGGAGACAGATGTATTTGCGTTGAATTCTCAAAATAATAGGGGATTACCTAAGGAATTTGAGTTTTTTAGTAGAAAACTAATTTGGGCCGGCGTTAGCTAGGTGTCGGAATTATAAGACGTCCCCAACCGCGTGGGTTGTCCCGAAGTTGTAACGCTTACAACGAAAGACCTTCCGCGGAAATTTACCTGCTATAACGGTCAATAGCCCCGCTATGTTAAATGGTATAAATTTATTCCAGGTGTGTACATTTGATTTATCTAATAGATTTTCAAAGTAGTCCCTCAACGGGCCTCTAAAGACTATTTAGTTAATTAGTAGGTCCCGGGGCTCTTGATGAGTCAATAACTAGATCCCAGGACGCTTGGGAGATCAAGTCTCGAAGTCCTTCCTGAGGAAGTTCGTAACATCTAGCTAGATCTTAGGAGGGTCTGTCAGGATCTAAGCCCCAGCGCATCTTAACCTCCTTAGTATATCAGTACCACTATGCTATAGAGTTACTATCTGCTGGCTAACGACACCGCAAAGGACAACCCTCCGCTGTAAAGATGGACTTTTCAAGTATTGGCGGCCTATTTACAACTCTGATATTTGGAGTTTTCGCCTACGCTCTTCATTCATAGTAGGGTCAACGATCCCCTTGATCTCCCCAGCCACGGTGCCAGCCAAGACGCCAACGCCGACGCCAATAATCCATCCATCACTTGCTTCTCGAAGGAACACGCTATTCCCTTCACTCTGCGACGCAGGATTTATAAGGAGCATATCGATATGCCTCTGGACGGTTTCCTTATCACACGGGTAAAGCTGTATGACATCGCCGCGACTATCGCCACAACCAATTTCTCGGGCCAAGGCTATTTTGGTAACCTCCTTAGCTATGACAATAATTATGATCTTTGTATCTAGATCTAATGTAATCTTCTATAGACTGGCATCGAAACATTTTCTGCACTAAAAATCACAGGCAATCCGGGACCACTGACTAGAAAATGTATGCCAAAAACCAAAAAATAGCGCCAGGACTGTACCTATTGCACGGCACATGTTCGATATGCCAATCCCCACCCGATCGGATACTGCACCATAGATCATAAATACACAAATATCACATATTGTAGAATAAAGGGACCCTTGAACATTGAAATGTCTACCAAGTCTGTGACTAACGTTGATAAACCGAGGATCAGAAACGCTATTTCCAGTTGTAAAGCGATTATCTACCATAAGTATATAGTAGCCGAACAGCTTTGGGTGCTTTTCTGATGTCTTTCTAATAACGAAGTTCTTCTGGCACTATAGTAATTGCGCTGCTAAGAGTCTCTTCTTTGCAATGGAATCAACGGTGTCCATTACGTAGGCCACTCGGGGAAAGAATAGCGCGAGACAGCGAAACCATGTCAGACGAACAGGATCGGCATTTCTCCGCAATGTCACATCCACTCAACGCCTCTCCACGTTTAACCCCAGCTTCTCCCCGCAGATACGCCCGCATTCCCCCAGATCATCGCGCGGATGTCTAATTTTGGAATAGGATGTTATGGTGTAGCACTCTTTGTACCACCGGGTTAGAATACCCCGAGTCCTTGATGGACTCCATGGGGTGTCGTAATGCCATGAGCTCGTGTGAATATTATCCGAGGGGAGAGCGATAGTTATGTATACACATTCTATCCTCGTTTTTGGTGTATCTATTCCAGAATAGAGCTTATGATCGTGCTTCGCTTCAAAAGTCATGTTCTTGGTCACAGGAGCAAATTGGCTAAGAGGGAAATGGCTCTCTTGGGCTATTACTGGTACGTCTATTCCCAGGATTCCTACATCTCATCATGCGACTAACCGATATTGCGTGACAGCGGCAAGCTGCCAGGGCTTTTTACTTCTTGGATACGATCAGTATGTCGCCATCTGTGAAATAAATGCACGCGATCCATCTGTCAACCAGTCAACTAACAGTGTATATTGTATAGGGGCGTGATGAGCGGCATCATCGGGGCCAATAACCAGTTCGGAAAAGACTTCAACTCTCCCGATTCAAATCTACAGGGGATAATCGTCTCAGTGTACGATGTAAGGCTATCTAACCAGGAAAGAAATGACACACATACCAATGGGACGTTACTTAATTTTCGATGCATTAGATTGGCTGTGCTGTTGGATCGCTTGGATCTCTTTTCCTCGGCGATCGTGCCGGCCGGAAGTTCATGATCATGCTTGGAGGTGCCATAATGATCATTGGGACCATAATTCTTGCTTCATCGACTACACTAGCCCAGTTGTTGGTGGGAAGGATAGTAACGGGTGTTGTACGTCGAGTTTAGGGCTGACATCATTCTATTGGAGCCGATTCTGACGCTGGGCTCTTAACAGGGAAACGGGTTAAATAGCTCTAACATCCCCGCTTACCAGAGCGAGCTTTGCGATCCTTCCAAGAGAGGAATGTTGCTGAGCTTGCAGGGTACGGTGACAATTGTCGGCCTATGTATAGCATATTGGCTTGACTTTGGATTCAGGTACGATTGACATACCCGACTCCATAATATGATTCATTCTGACAGCGATGTTTAGTTACGTCGACGGCTCAGTTCAATGGCGCTTCCCAATTGCATTTCAAGCTTTCTTCGCAATCCTTCTTGTTCTTCAGATGGTGCCGCTGCCTGAAACACCTCGTTATCTCATTCTAAATAACCATAACAATGCCGCCGGAGAGGTCCTTGCCCGCCTGCATCCCGGAAAGAATGTCACGTCCGATCACCCCGATGTCGTCTATTTCAGGAGGCAGATAGAGACCGGAATTGAGACCGAGAGTGCTGGAGGCCCTTTCCGATACAGCGAGCTTTTGACGGGAGGCGAAGTGCAGAACTTCCGACGCGTTGTCCTATGCATGGCTGTCAACGTCATGCAACAGTTCACTGGCTCCAACATGATAAACTATTACGCACCTGTCGTATACCAGCAGACTATGGGACTGTCGAGAACCCTCAGCTTAATTCTTGGAGGGTGCACTTCCCTGACCTATCTCGTGGGATCCATAATTCCTCTCTGGGTGAGCAACGCACCTCATAAAGCTCGGCCGTGAAACCACTAATAGTATGATAGGCAATGGACAAATTCGGGCGTCGGACTCTTCTGATGTTCTCTGCATCAGGGCTCTGTCTCTGCTTCAGTCTTGTAGCCATCCTACTCTCCAGAGAAACCAAGTCTACCGCCTACGGAGCCACAGCCATGGTGTTCCTCTTCCAGATCTTCCTTGGTATTGGATGGTTACCAGTACCGTGGTTCTATCCTTCTGAAGTTACGACGACCCGTATCCGGTCGAAAGGTCAGGCTCTAGGTTCCTTCATTAACTGGATGTGCGTCTTCACCGTTGTGCAAATCACACCCATCGCCATTGCGAACATTCAATGGCGGACATTTATTATCTTCGCTGTTTTCTGCTTCCTATGGATTCCGATTGTGTACTGCTTCTTCCCTGAGACAAACCAGCTAGAGCTAGAAGATATTGACCATCTTTTTGATAACGGTGGTATCACTGGTGGCGTGTGGACCAGCAAAGGAGGTAGAACTGTGGAACGCAAGCATCATGAACGTGAGACGGAATTTGGAACATCTGCAAAGGAGGAGTTAGCAGGGAAATCTGCTGAGATAGAAACTGCTTGAGACAGAGTTATGAACATGATGCTTTAGGCCTAATGTGGATTGAATATAGACTTCTCGATGCGAGCTCATATGTGATACCGTTAGTAACTGAGAAATGAAACTAAAGACAAAAATGGACTTAATGAATGTATCTAACTCGGTCAGTATGCCCTTCGGTTAAATTTGACAAGTCAACTGACGAATTTGGCTTCCAGTAGGGATTTCGGTTAACTCCGAAGCTTGACTCTAGCAGCGCGCAGCTTAATATGGATTGCGACTTTAGTATGCTATTCGATCCAATACAGGGAGCTGAGCACTGCAGCACTTTCACCAGTATTTGAGCTGGTAAGACATCTTCCCATAACTGCCATTCAGCCGTAGATCGTTTAGATATATAACATGCAGGCTTTGTCCACGCAGTTACTCCATAGTTATCTGACATAATAGCCGTACCCCCTCCAACATATCCATTATCAAAACCGTCAGCTGACGTATATACGAGCTCCAGACCAACGACATAGTACCACGCCGGGTGCAACATGAAAACTGGTATGATCTACAGTTCGACTAGTCTATATTAATGGTTAATATCATTTTCTTACTACGAAGTTCGGGTCCATCCCATCTCGTTGATGGCATTAGTTTTCTCCGAAGCGGAACAAGCATTGACGTAGATCATTTCTGTTCAGTACCTCCGTACTATCGTATCCCCAGAAAGTGAACTTGACTAACCTGACCGAAGGGCATCGCGCATGACTAGCTTTCTAGATCTCTTTATAACCGATTGGCTAAAGTATAGGGGATTGTCGAATCATTTCTTACTGTGTTCTAATTCTAGCCTGTAATGTTACATTTTGGACGTGCGACCCCCGCCATTGTGGGGGAACAAAGCAGCTAGAGAGGACTTCTGAGCAATGATATATCATCGAGTCCAAAGTCTTAGTATCTTCGCCAAGATGGAGGACATTCAGCAGGTATAAATAGCCGCGCATTGGCATTACCTGACAGCTTATTACCTACTCACTGATGGTGATAGTCAGTGACGACGCTTATATCGTCGTACTTCAACTCGCTGCCAGAAACGTTCATGATGCGTCTCATTGACTTATGGAGAGGACTGCTGTTGCTTTCTGCTTCGACAGCGACATTTGCGATAACAAATAAACAGACTGAAGCGGTGTGTATGTGAACGCCCTTTAATGTAATAATATCCTGGATAGATCATGACCATATCTCAGTGGTTCCATTTGCTCTCGACCCCCTACCTCTGGGCAGCGTCACACCCAATGGCTGGCTTCGAACAGAACTCGAAACATCCGCCGCTGGCCTTGGTGGGCACCTATTCGACTTTTGGTCCTTTGTCGCAAATTCCAGCTGGATCGGCGGCGACTCTGAATACAGTGACCTCAACGAAGCGCTTCCATATTGGGTAAATGCAATGGTCCCGCTCTCTTATACCCTACAGGACGAACGATTGAAAAGCAATGTGCATTATGTTGTCGATACTATCATCGACCGCATACAGTCTGATGGATGGATAGGTCCGGAAACGCTGGCTGGTGGAGAACGAATGATCTGGGCGCGTACCTTGCTTTTTCTTGGATGGACTAACTTGGTCGAAGCGAATGCGACTTATGAGAAACCGATAATCGACGCGATGCATCGTTTTAACAGGTTGATGAACACAATGCTCAAGAATAATGGTACCGGGATGATTTGGCATGAAGGAGACAAATTAAGCCCTTCGGATTATGTCTGGTTTATCTCGAGAACTGAAGACATGATGGTTAGTTTGCAGTGGCTGATCGATCATTATCCTGGTAACCAGACCGATATTTTGAAAGAGAATATCGATCTCATACACCATTTTGGATCGAAGTGGGAGGCTTGGTATACCAATGGCACTTATGTCACGCAAGATCTTTACGATGTTCCCGCATCGGTGACGACTGATCAGTGGCAGTTCTTGCATGGCGTTACTGTCGCTGAGGGCAAGTGATTGATCTTTAGTTTCTTTTTTCATGCTGAACCGGTCGTAGGTTTGAAAGCAGCAGCGGTCCTCCGAAGATCCACTTTCAATGACAGTCTTCTTAAGACAGCAAAAGACGGCGTATGTGCGCGGTTACCCTTGAGGCTCTTTTCATGTTCTGACTTATATTCTGAATAAGGTTGACTGGACATTCGAATACCATGGTGCAGCATCTGGTACAATTCTGGCAGATGAACGTTTAGATGGCGTTAATCCTTACTACGGATCGGAACTCTGCACAGATGTTGAAACCATATACTCGCTCGCATACAACTACTTCGCGATAGGCGACAACGACTACGCGGATCGAGCCGAGAGAGCGGCGTTTAACGCACTTCCAGCTGCTGTATCTGGGGACTGGTGGAGTCACCAGTATATGACGCAGCCCAACCAGCCGTATTCTAAGAACCTCTCTTCAACCCCGTTCTGGGATGTGAATACCCAGGGACAGACTTTCGGACTGGAACCGAACTATCCTTGTTGTACTGTTAACCATCCACAAGGGTATCCCAAGTTCACTATGTATAGCTGGTTAAAGAAGGGCGAGACGGGACTGGTCCATGCTCTTCTGAGCCCAAGTCATGTCGAGACTCAAGTGGCTGGCGGAGATGTCACCGTTGACTGCCAGACTGATTATCCATTTCGAAATGAATTGACATATACCATAACCACAGACAAGACGTTTGAATTTTACGTGCGTGTTCCGGGATGGGCGACTGGAAGTACTATCTCCAGCTCAGACAAGGGACAACAGGCGGGTGAATTGGACCCGAAATCTGGCTTACGGGGTATCGAAGTTTCCCCGGGCACCACTACCATCGAATATAATATCAGCGAGATAGCTTCGAAGTTCCGCACAGAGCCACGCGCAAATGACACGATCGCCGTTTACCAGGGCCCGCTTCTATACGCGATTCATATCCCTCCTGTGGTTTCGTCGGGACCACCGAAGCTTTATAACAATCAACAACCCTTCGCACCTGGCACTTACCCACCACAGGCGCATGATTATCAGATGTTAAACAGCACAGAGTGGAACGTCGCCATTGATCCTTCAACTATAACTTACTATGACGGAGGCGAGAACACTGCTCTTCCTCAACCGACGTGGGATGATGGTCAGTTGCCCATGTACATGACAGCCAAAGCATGTTTGATCGACTGGCCGTTATTCAGAGGATCGGTTCCGGGATGGCCTATTCTGAAGGAGGATCGAAAGTGCTTGGGTGATGCGTTTAATGCGACCTTGCGACCATATGGAAGCGCAAAGTTGCATATGGCCGAAATTCCCACTATCGATTTGTAAGTGTTATTCTGTTGCCTTCTCCTTGGTGAAATTAGGCAAAAGAATCGTGTTTGGGATAATTATACCAAGATGGAAAGGCATGTAACGGAGTGGAGTGCTGTATACAATAGTGTTGAGAAAAAGGGATAACACCCTTCATTCAGATAATTGTGAGTGTACTCTGGATACCTACTTAGTACAGAATTCATCCAAAACTATCTGCATTTATTTCGAAGGACAAAGAATAAACTATAGAAGGTCATTATAAGGGGAGACTTATATATGAGGTTTCAATGTCATCATAATCATAATGGGGGGGGCGAGCGATGAAGACTGCAGGCAGATGCCGCAGCAACTTAGCGCACCGTCAAGGGAATTCAGCCTGATCGACTCCGCCACACAACAGAGTCCACATTAAATGTTCATGCACTGTGTACTTTATGCGGCAGCTGACCAATAACAAACTCTATCTCAACACCTAAATAATAAATCTGAGGCTTCTAAAATTATAGCAATAAGTCAGCCTTGCGATCTCCCTCTGGACTGTGATAGAAATAGTACCGCTGTACGTTTAACGCCTCATTGTTGCCTACAATTATGTGTTGGACAATATCCAATTAGACATCTACCCTTTGACTATATGCTGTTGGTATTATGTTGGTGTCTCAGACAGTGTTTGAGCTGGTATTCAGTCGCTACCTCTATAGAATCCATGCCAATATGGCATGGAACGGTATAGTGGAGGAAAGAAGCTTGGATTCTCCCCTCCTGTTGGAGAGGTGTACTAAATACTAGCTAAGCCTAAGGCGGTATAGGATACTGCTATTTAGCACCTCTGTGCCCCTTTATAGTATTCTGTAATAAATTCCCCCCTTTAGAAAATATTATTATCTTTATTAATATTATATAAATATAAATAAGCTTATATATTCCTGCTTTTTTTTAGTCTGCCCTTATATTATAGTTTGGGAACTGTTGCTGCTATATCTATAGTTAGCTTCTTCTTAGAATATTTAGGCTTATATTGTAATACTAGTATTAGTGTAGATTTAATAGGATTATCTGGCTAAAGCGGATATTTAATATTATATTCTATAAGTAATTTAGAAGCTCCCTAAGATAGCTTATATTTTAGATATTAGATATTATATTCTAGACTGCAGTTCTTCTAGTATACTAAATACTTTAGAATAGGCGAATTTTAGTTGCGCTTAATACAATATTAATTAATTAATTATTTAATCTTAAAATATTGCTATTCTTTTTTATCGGTAAACTTAAGTTTATTTAGTACTCTTATTATAGTAGGGCATTTAAATAGATCTTAGCTAGGCTATAGCTCTAAATAAGCAATAGAAAATACTAGGTAAATATATTAATAAGGCGAGAGTTTAAGTTTATAAGTTAATTATCCTACCCTCTATATTATTATAAAAAGGCTAGTGTATTATACTAATAGTTTAAGTCCTAGCATAGCTATAGATAGCAGGTTATACTTATAGTATAGCTATAAAAGGACTTAGTTATTTAATATAAAATAGATTAGAGTATAAAGACTATTATATTAATATTTTATATCTATTACTATTATTATTATTGCCTCCTATATATTAATACAGCAGGTAAAGTCCTAGCTTTATAATAATATAGCTATAAGTAATATAGGAGTATTAAGCTTAATTCTAAAAAATAGCTTATAAGGTAAAGACTTAGTAGAAATATTTAGAACTAAATTTAATACCTCTTAAAGCTATAGTAAAACGCGCAGCTAGGCTATAATATTATCTAATATTGTAAGATAATATTAAAGTATATATTTAATAGTCTAGTTAGTCTTTTTAGACTATTTATCTATCTACAGGTAATATAAAGTAAAAAATATTAAATTATATCTAAGTTATTAAAATATAGTATTTTATATTTTTAATATAAACTTGCAATCTCTATTAGAGATAATAGTATATAAAATACCTTAATCTCCTAGTTATAAGTAGGTAATAAAAGTATTAGCTTATACTATAGCCGTTTAAACTATATTCCTTAAGATAAAAGTTACTCTCTTTATAAACTTATAAGTAACAGATATAATATAATTAAATTTATTACTTCTTAATAGGCCTAAGATAAAGTTAATAGTTATTATATAAAATAAGATTAGTAATATTATAATAGGCTGTAGAGAGCTATATAGTCTATAATATTATATATAGTTAAAAAGATAAGCTTTATAGTATTATATATAATAATATAGTATTTTAAAATACTAATAAATAAATAAACTATCTAGGCGTATAATAGTGCGTTTATATCCTAGATAGCCTGTGTTGTTATATATAATTTTAAATATATCGCTAAGTAAACTCCTAGAAATATATAGATGCTATTAATCTATATACCTATTAATAGAGTATAATAAATTGTTTCTTATTATATATAATAACTCTATAGTATTATCTCCTAGTTTAGCATTTAATCTAACTATAGTAATAATCTTAGCCTATTATAAATTAGATTTATATCTTATAATAATTTAGGCTTTAAATATATTACTAATACTAATTAGGGTTTATTAGTATAGTCTTAGATTCTCTATATCTACTATTATGCTATAATATGCACTATAGTAGCAGTTAATATCTTTAAATATTAGGGCGTCTGGGTTAATTATAGGCGATTTAAGATAAGATAGTATATTTGCTATAATATTTATATAGCCAGGCTTATATATTAATATAAGTTTAAATCTCTAGATATATTATAACGCGAGAATAAGGCGCAGGTTTATTTTATTAGTAGATATTAACTTTAGGGATATTTATTTAGCTATTATAATTATTATATTATAATTTATAAAGATAATTAATAATTTTTTTATTATTTTTATTATATAATATATCTTTTATAGTGCTTATATTAAGCAGGCTACTTCTATTTTAATTAGCTAATATTATTTTTTAGCTAGATTAAGCTATTTAGATAAAAATATTACTAGCTAGATATAGAGCTTATTAAATATAGCTTTTATATTTAAATATATTGCTAAGAGATAGTAACTATCTAGTATTATTTTAGTTTTATCTTATAGATAATATATTATAATTCTAAAATTAAACGCGCTAGTATTAATATTATAGTAGAGTTAATATATAGTATTATAATAAATTAAGAAGGATAATAATTAGAAATAGGTATAAATTGCCTTAAATATATTAAATTCTGCTTTTATTAATATTTTGAGTAGAGCTTTTCTAGTATAGCTTTCCCTTAGTTTACTCTTAATCGAGGCTATCTTTAATAGTATAATTCAGCGTTCTTAGAGTAGATTAATAATTTTCGCATATATTAGGATATATTATTAAAACTAGCCAGTTAATTTAAGGTAAGTCTCTAAGGCTTAAGCTGTTTTAAGGAAAAAAATATTAACTACTGCTTTAACTTTCTTATTAATAGATATTATACTTAATAAATCTATATAATAGTTAAGAAGTTATACTAAGGGAAAGCCTATAAAGGATTTTCCTAGGCTAAGCTTAATATTTAACTTTTTTATCTTTTTAAAGACTTAATATAAGTATTTATAATATTAGTTAAATATTTTTAATGCTATAATAATATTATTAATATATATTCTTATAAAATTATAGAAGGGCTATAGATAATAATCTATTTAATATTATATATAAGCTAGTATATTATAGAAGCCTATTATTATAATATTAAAAATCTCCTATTTATAATAAGATACTATAGAGAGCCTATTCTTATAGTCTTAATAGATATACTATTAGTATTAAAAGGATATAGTATTAAATACTAAAATATATAGCTTACTAGTTATTAATATAAGAATCTTCTCCTATAAAGGAATAGGATAAATATTAGGTTTAATAATATAATTAAGCCTATAAATATTTACTACTACTCTCCCTTTATAAATAATAATCTTATTATACTTTATATTGCGCTAAATAATAAAGATAAAATATCTATTAGGTATATAGGTTACTATATATTTTATATAGCCCTATTTATATAACTTATTAAATGTCTAATCTACTACTTTGCGATCCTTTAGGCTTAGAAAGTAGACTTTAGTATGCTTTAAGATGCTAAATTCCTATCCTTATTTTAAGAAGATTATTAGCTATTAGTTAGAAGAAATATTAGTTAAGTCTTAGTCTGACTATATATTATATAATATTATAACCTATTTAAGCCGGTAAGTAATATTAAGGGTACTGTAGATAATAATATTATTATTAAGCTTTTATTTAAGGTATAAATTACTGCTTTATACTAATAACCCTTTAATTTTATTAGTAATAGGCGTCTAGGCTAATAGTACTATAATAGGGTTAATATAGAAGGTATATATTTTCTTATAATTGCTAATGCGTCCTAAATAAGTCTTATAAGAGATTATTTATTTATTAGCTATAATATTAATAGCTTATATAAATAAGAAGTTTGTGTTAATAATATAGGTATATAGACTAACTCTATAATACTCTAGCTTAAAAAGGTAATCTTAATCTATAAGCAGATTCCCTTTAAAATATATTAAGATTTAGATAGAGCTATTTAGCAATATTATAACTTTATTAGTTAAGTAGACTAGTTATAAATATATATAATTTAGCTTTGCCGTTATTATTAATAGAATATAAATATCTCTAATAGTAGTATAGGCTAATATTATAAGATATATTAATAAGCTATAGTAACTTATTATATTAATACTTAAGAGAAGGTTTACCTTTAAATAATTAACTAGATATATTTTAATATTTAGATAAAGCAGTACTAATTTACTATTCTAGGTTGCTAAATAGTTTAAAATAATATAAATATATTTAGTTAAATTATAAACCGCTAGTCTTATCTTATTAATCCTTATCTTAGATATCTAATAAATTTCTGCTTGCGAAGCGACTTATTTAAGAAATTTTTTATTTATTATTATTATAAAATATCTAGAATTTAAGTAAATTAGCTTAGTATTAAGGCTACCTTTAATATATACTTTTACTATAGTATAGTGCTATTTATAAAATATATAGCTAGATAGCGTTTAAGCAATTAAAGAATTAGCTTAAATAAGCTAAGGTATTGCTATAGTTACGCCTATTATTATATTTAGAGTTATTATATAGAATTTAACTATTATATTTAAAGTTATATTATTAAATAGTATAATTAGAGATATATACTTCTAGTAGTAATTTATATCGCGTAAGTGCTTATAGAGCTTATTATTTAACTTAAATATTTCTTAGTAAAGCTAATATTTAAATATAGAGACAATTAGTAATATTATATAATATATAAATATATTATAATTATTATAGCTATAGTCTAATTTAAGCTTAGAGTTATTATAATAGTTATAACTGCCCTAGTTAAAGTATTTCTTATATTTTAGCATAGGATCTTAGATATATTTAAAATGTATCGTATAGTAAGTATTCTTATATCCCTGTATATCTATATCCTCTTAATTATTCTCTATTATTCCCTTAAATTATCTTATAATATTGCTACTATAAGCTATAGCTTATAATTAGGCGCTTATAAAAGAGCTATAATTATTATATTGCTAAGAGTATAGTTAGTAAGTATTATTATTATAGTATTAAGTTTAATTCTATAATATATAGTATTACTAGAGTTAAATACTATATTACTAAGGTTAAATGCTATATTACTAAGGTTAAATATAAGGCTAGACTAAGGGCTATGCCTAGTTTTAGTTCTATTATTATTACTAATTACCTTAGTTTATTTAAAAAGATAATATTATATTTAAATAGATAGAATAGTTAAAGTTTTAATATAAATTTTTATTCTGTATAAACTATCTTAGGGCTCTATCTCTAGTCTAATTATTAGTATTAGCATTATATTAATTCTGCCTTAGTATAACTAGGAAAGGAGAATAATAAGAAAAGGGAGTTTTTTAATTATTATAGTTATATTATTAATAATAATATTTATTCTTATCTACTTATTCTTACTAGATAATATATACTTCCTTAATATATTTAATAAAGTTAAAGAGTATAGTATTAGGTTATAGTACCTATATATCTTATTTTAAAAATAGTAAAAATTTATTTTATATAATTAAAAGCTAACTATATATTTTAATAATGCCTGTAATATGCGATAGTCGCAATATTTATTAGATAAATCCCTAGGGTATCTAACCTGCAGCGATATCCTATATAGTATAATATAGAGATTCTAATTATCTTATTACTATAATAGTATTAAGCTTAAAGCACTTTATTATTATAGGGATTTATTTTTCCTTAATTAAGTAGTTCTATAGGAAGTTATAATTACTATTAAATAACTCTACTATATATTATTATAGTGCGAGGCCCTATAAAGATCTTTAGATATAGCCTTAGATTAAGGCTTCTCCTTTTATTATAGCTAAGTTATAAATATAGTTAGTAAAAATATATATATCCCTATAATATATATAACTGCTAATTATAACTATTAGGCTTATACTAATATAATTTATATTATTAAGGTTAGGGTAAAAGTACTTTAGCTTAATCTACTTTTACTAAATATTATTAACTATAGTGCTTATTAATATACCTAGGGTAAATCTAGGTCTAATAAGGTTGTTTAAGTTTATGAGATATTCTAGGTTAAGGGGTTAACTAGAGTATCCCTTATTATAAACTTAAGCTCTTTGCTATTATATTAATTATTAGTTCCTTTATTATTAAATTTACTAACTTATTTAGCTATTATAGTAAGCCCTTAGCTTAATATAGTAATTCTAGAAAATCTCTATTATTATGCGATTCTAATTAGATAGTTTTATAATCTATTAGTTTATACTCTTAGCTATTTTCCTGTTAGACTTAACTATAGTATCTAATATCTTCTAAAATATATTTATTAGTATAGTATTTAAATTAGGCAGTATATTTAAGCTATTGTTTATATTTAGATTTACTATAATATTATCTGCTAAGGCTGTATTTTAGAGAAATCTGGTCTTTATATAAGATAGCTGTATATGCGTGCGTTATTTCTAGATAGAGTTGCGCAGATTCCCAGGAATAAAAAGAGATAAGGTAAATATAGATGCAATTATTAGAAACACAGGGATTTTAGCTCCTAGTCTTATATTAGAGTTATTAATATTACTAGTATTATTAATATATTTAAAGAAAGAGAGTAAGTTAAGGGAGTCTCCTTCTAGTTATAAGATAACTAATATAGCTTAAAAGGACAGCTCTAAATTTCTTTTTAACTATATATATGCTCTGCTAAGCAGTTATAATAGCTCTTCTATTTTAAGATATTATTCTCTTACTTCTATTTATTAAGTTATAAAATAAGGATAATTTAGTAATAATATTACTTTTCTTAGAAGGCTCTTAATTGTATTATTTAATAATATATAATTAATTATCTAGTCTGCAGAATATTTAAATTATTTAGTTAATACTAAGGCTGTATATAAGATAATCTATAAAGTTTGCTTATATACTGTAGACCTTTTTTATATAAAGTTAGGCTTTAGATAAAAGCAAATAATAAATTTAATCAGGTTTAATATCTCCCTATTAAACTGGTTCTAGAACTATAAAGTTTCTGACTAAAATGCTATTAAAAAAAAGGCTATTGCTAAGGTTCTAATACTTAATAAAGGGAGAGTAATATTAATATACTGCTTATCAAACAATAGCGTTATTATAGAGTCCCTTAATAAACAGATATAATATTAAATATTAAATAAACAGGATAGATTATAATAAAATAGATGCAGATTATAATAAAATAGATGCGGGTTATCTTCCTATAGTAACCTTAAGGTTATAATACTTAATATTAAATCTCAGGATAGATTAAATTAATGAAACACACTTTATTATAATAGGGTAAAACGAAATTGCTAAAATCTTAATAAAGGGAAATAAGTAAGTAAGTATTAGTAGTAATAGTAATCAGTAGTAGTAATAACTAGAGATATAAGACTTAAGATAGTAAGGGGAATAAGGAGAAGCTGCGGAAATCTGTTAGTGTTACTAGATTTAATAAAATAATAGTTTAATAGTATAGAGATAATGCTTTTAATAATTTTTAGGGCTATCCTAATGATAGTAAGGTCTTAGTAATACCCTAGGATATGCTATTAAATAGCATAGAACAGTATAGTAGAGGAAAGAAGCTTGGATTCTCCCCTCCTGTTGGAGAGGTGTATTAAATACTAGCTAAGCCTAAGGCGGTATAGGATACTGCCACTTGGCACCTCCGTGCCCCTCTATAGCATTCTGTAACACAATATGACGCCAAAAATGAGGCTTAAATAGATGTACCCTGCTCACAATCCCAGTTGAACCGTTCTAATGATTCTGGGAGGCCGCGTATCTACTTTCTCAGACCCACATTAACATATAAACGCAGTCTTTGTTTGTCCACACACTTCCCTTCTGCAAGAAGCCAAAAACTCATCACTCCTCTACCCTCCCTACTTGACAAAACCAGATCAACAACTTCTTGTCATTTTCCAGTGGTGTTCTCATTCTGAACCTCATACAATGGCATCTCGACCATCATCCTTTTTCGAGAGTTTTCAGGACTTCGTACATAATCCCTCCGCCCCTGTAAGCGCCGAATTCACTCGTCTGGCAGCGCTTCGCAAATGGAAGGTCAACTCAAAGACATACCGCAAGATGTGGAAGAAATGTATCTACTCGGAATTCGAGAAGAATTATGGAAAGGAGTTTTCTCGTCTTCAGTGCTGGCAGAACCTATGTTCGGAGCTCCAGATTGGTGTCTTCGGCTCTATCAGACAGTGCAAAATGGTAATGTGCGCGTCCAGATTTCATGAGTCATATGGGTTGACTATTTCTAGGCTCTTTCCAAAGTTTACGTCAACCTTGTCGATTTGTTGGATAGCCGTGCTACGGGAACAGTTGTGAGGACGTTTCGGACATTGAAACAATTGCGGACATACACTAGAAAGACGGGGCGCTATTTCCCAAGGGATGAGGCGAAGGAAGAGGGGTTTATCAAGGTTCTTCTGAAGCGCATTGTATGAGGCAGAGGTATGTCGACGAGGATGAAGAAGGCTGCCATGAGCGGCGGCCGTCGACCCCTGCATCCGCTAGAAGCATAGTGTATAAAGCGAATCGTGTTGCAAGGAATAACAAGAATGATACGTGGAACTTCTCCTTTTTACCATCCTATCCTGAAATCAACCGCAGTAAACACAACATTTTTCGAGTGTTGTTGAACCTTCGCGATCCATTGCAAACCCCGATCGCTATTAGATTCACTGACTTTTTTCTCAAATTTCGGTACCTGATTATGGGTCGAGTGGTTCTGGCTGACGATAGAATAGAGAAATAGATAGCATGATGTTTCCAGCGATGAAAATAAGCTCTTGGTCGACCAGATAGAGATTGTTTTGATCCGGAGAATCTTAAATACTTACAGCCCCACAGTTGATCCTCGGGTAGATATGTGTGTGGGCCAATCGGTGGATCATTTTAGTTCCAAGTTGTTGAACATGGTTATCCGTAGCGTACCAGATAATAATAATCGCAATGTATAGTATTCATAGATCAAGTAACTATATCATCCTACTTTTCCAGCACGCGCTTAATTCTCTAAAAACGTGGTATGAAAGCCATTGTATAATCACACACAAGAGGCGGCTATACACTGTCGGAAATAGCCATGAGCCAATCGGAACGCAAGACATCCCACCCCGACGCCTCCCCCCAACCCATGCGACCGTCCAGGGACAGATTTCAGTACCAATATGCCATTCCATTCAGCCAGCTCTAGCTGAGTATGACGATGTTTGCGATGTATAGGTGACAGTATGCTCATGTTTGGTGTCCTGTGATGGTCTCGGAGGTGGTTCTGACGTTGGGGATCTTGGAGTCGTTGGTGCAATGACCTGTTGTGGCAGCGCTGACGTCGGGAGGCTGGGGGCGGTGTCGGCCGGCAATATATGCTGACCTGCCGGCCAGGTACTGGGATTAAAGACGGCCAGCGGAAACGGGGAGGATGTAGATGCATGTGCAATCTGTGTTGGCAGGTATCGACGGGCAATTACAGCCTCGAATTCAACCGTCTCCGATCGGACTATGAAGAGACAAGTATGTTAGATGTGTTTGTTGAGTACTAATACCGTGTTACGGCTACACGGTACCTTGCTCATGTCGGGTGCGACGAGTTTCCCAATAAGTTAGGATTGCTACAATAAGAGATGGAATTCCCACAAGAAGAGAGATAACAGAATCAACTGAAAGTGCAGTCATTTTATGGCCATGAATAATAAATTATATGAGCGCGATGTTGGTCCGTAGTCCTGGGACACCATCCAATTTCTATAGTTGACTGCAGCTGCTGATGGGAGATATATAGCGGCCCGTAGACGAGTAACCGCCTTGACGTCCGTCGTCTCCCCTTGTTGCGCTAACACATGCTGCGGCAGTGCGACAATGTTGAATGCAGGGCCTATCGTGATTCGACGGGTAAGGAGCTAGAGAAGTCTCAGCTCCACTCAAGTGCGGGCTTTATAAAACTAAGCTTATTCTGGAAGGAACAAGCTACGTCAATCTACGCCTCCAGACTGTGGTCACTGGCCAGTTGCTTAATTCATCCTCCACTAACAGCTTAGGTCGCCAACTAAGCACATAGACAGCTGCAATGGCGGCCATTCACAGCGCCATTGCTCCTTACCAAGCGCCATGCTAATGCAGATCGTATATTGCCCTATCATCATCGACATCACTGATTACCGTGGCCCTACAGTTAGGTACAGCAGGCTCATAATAGGCGTCACCGGTTCGGATTGATGCTCGAGATAGTATGTCGACGACTCGACTGGGAGCAGCGCCATTTTTACTCGAAGATCAAGCAACCAGCACATATTATGACAGTACTCTCGAGTTCGCACATGACAGTTCTAGTCCTTATGTAGTTAATCGGCAGTGGGCGCCGCAGGATCCGGGATACCGACTCGGCCTCGTTGTAGCTCGTCAGACGAGAAACTGCTTGATGACCTGTGTACTCCTTACTCACAGAGGATCTTTACGCCTCGGAAAATCAATATTAACTAAACCGCTTTGACTCGCTTTGCGCCAATGTGTTCTATGCCATCATTAATCGGTTTCCACCTTTATGCTCGGTTGCCTCCATCGATTAGACCTGCTAAATTTTGAAAGTGAAGGAGAGGTCTGGATTGGAACAAGGAATGGTGTCTCTAGGAAAGTATAACAGGGCGTTTCATGAGTAAATTCAAATTTCTTCGTTTCATGGATGAGTTGAAAGTCTGTACATAATAATAGTACGGAGATCTGCGACTGGTAACTATTGCGGTATGGTTTAATTATACAATTGTACGATTAAGCTATACCAAAAATGGATAGATGACCGCCTATCATGCAAACCAAATGCCTAGATATGACCTCAATATATCCCAATATAGTTATTCCTGATATTAATTCGCTCATCTAACTATTGTCCATGAGAATTTGCATTGGTCCAAAGTGACATTCTGCTAGATCTCTATGGACTGTAATGCATGTGCGATCTAGAGCAACCGCGAAGGTGAACTCTGGTGATTTGAGATGTCTATTAACAAACTTGGCAGAATGATTCTTACTATTCTAGGAAATTTAGGACAGCGTGCATCCGCAGATCACGATCGGTCGCCTTATGATAATGATTCAGGACAAGATGCCAATCATCTATGGTACCTAAACTATAGGACAGTTCTCCCCAAAGATCACTGTTTTAAAGTCGTGGAATTGTTCGAATTCAGACGCCCGGATCTAATTCAAGTTAGAATACATATCATCAAGCGTCGGATTTACTTACGATGTCCAGCTTCGCATTTATAATGGCCTTTCTGAGTGTATAGTTGTAAAATGCCCTTCCATATGCGGTTTTCATGTACTGCTTGATACAGCGTCGCCACGCCGAGTCCCTAAATGAGACCATTGTGCGCGGCACATGCTTCAGTGTTACTCCGATTACACTCCGTGCCCAGTTGCAAATGCCGTCGTGCTTGGCCATTAAGGCCTTCCCTTCCGCTTGAGACTTGACCTCGGACCCTTCGATGAGGGCCAACATTTGCTCACCGTCCGTGTCGGCTTTGTACACTTCTCTGCGATTCGAACGCAGTATTCCATACAGATCAGGTTTCATACTGCTCCTGTCATAAAGATCGACAGCCCACAGGTAAGTCTACGGAGTATTAGCGGGATTTTCACAGCGGGATTCTAACTTAAGACAGAATAAAACCCACTTCAGGTGTCGGAGGCGTTCCTACATTTCCTATAATAGCAACGATCTTTATAGGCACGTAGAATTCTATTCCTTACGCTGTGAAGCTTAAAGTAAATGAGTCAGTGAAACATTCCAGTAAGGGTGGCCATGGACTGCTCGTTGATAACCTTCTCATATTATGGAAGTCGGGCATGATGATTTCGTAACAGGATTGTTAGGGATATATCAGACAATTTTATACCTGATAATAGTTGATCGCTGAGATTCGATCTTCATTCTTTTCGTAGGCTGGAGGGTCGTTCTCCTTTGTAGATTCGGAGTGAACTCCAAGGAGGGATTCTCCATGGGTACATCGGGCAGTTTGTCCTTGCTCGTCTGTGTAGAAGCCGACACCAGAGTAACTGACTGGCCAGTTGCAGTCACATGCTCATCACTCCCTGCGTCGGTCACCAGAAAGACACACTCATACAAGACACTAAATATACCACTAGTAATGGTGTAATCTGGGCTAGGCCAGTATAAGCAGGTCAAGGGGTAGGATGGTTGGTGGCGAGATTGGTTGATTAAGAAACTAAGATCTATCTAATTAACTAATATAAAAACTTTTATAGTAGTAGTGGGTTAAGTGATTAGATTATAAGCTCTATTAACTCCCCCTCCGAATAAGAGACCGCCCCCAGTCTTATTATAAAATTGCGTTTAACAAGAACATATTAAAAGGAAAAATAATATAAGGGGATTTGCTATGATTGCAATAAGGTTTATTTTAAATAGATATAATCTCAAGAATATAATTAATTAGTGAGAAGCTCTAGTTAAACTAAGGGATTTTTAACAACTAAGCTCAAGATCTAGGCTCTCCTCTTCTTAACTTATAATTTATCCTTTAGTCCTGTATAAGCAGTGTATTTATTTCACTCTTTTTTAATAAGGGTATTATCTTAACCAATTATTACAGCGATATCCTTAGATATTCTATTAGGCCATATAATATTTAAGTTATCATAATTTGCGATAAATAGGTCCTACTCTTATTTTTATCTACAGGCTTTTTATTTATAATATTTATTTTAATAAGCTTTTTAGGACAATTTTAGCTATTTATAATACTCTGAAAGTGCTCCGGCCATAATATCAGAGTAACTTAGCTCATCCTTAATATAATCAGCCAGGACTATATACAATTCAGAAATAAGGGCGCCGCTTTCATCGATATAGCAGTAAGGCTTAGATATTAAGGCTTAGTTCAATTTATTAACCAGTACCCTCAAGTAAACTATTATGCCTCTATGGCTAACAATATTAGACTTTATAACTGGTTCGTGGGCCTTATCTTCTAATATCCCAACTGGGATGTGCAAAAGGTGTCTAGGTTTATTAAGCACAGGGCGTTTCGGTGGTAAGACCTTGACAATGGTCTGCTGAGTGATAAAGAATCTGAGGTCGGGGCGCAGGAACAGGAACCGCTTGGAGGATCGCTTTACTGCGCGAGTTCCTGGTGATCTTCACACAATGGTTCAATCGCGGATCATTCTCCGCCAGCGGGACGTCTCCAACGCTGACCATATCACACAGCCAGCCCAGGGTCGAGGGAAGGCACTGGTCCAGTCCCGAGAAAGCTCGGTCGGTCGAATGCCAGAATAAGGCGAGCTCCCCTCGTCTTCTCGCGTATTTATAGACGGCCCTCTGCGGGGAAAGGAGGAACTCACAGGGCCTCTGCCTGGCTAAATCTCTGGGATTATAAGTTCTTGCCGGTCCCAACTTCGGAAGGAATCACCGTAATATCTTGAATATGCCAGCAGCTCGTATCCCAATGCAGATTATTAACCCAGTTTTTATTAGGAGTGCTGCAGACGGCGAACCAGGCCTGCTTCCCCTTTTTCGGGGCTTTCTAAAAGAACGAGTATGTATTGCGGATATCGATATCCAGCAACAAATCGAGTCAGTTTGTCTTCATTTTACCATCTAAAAAAGAGAGCACGTATAGATATATAAGGGCCATTAAGGATCGCGCTAAAGTCAGATAAGAAGTCAGCAATAATTTTAGCTAAAGATTAAAGATGCGCGCAGCATCTTTATCGGCGGGATAGCAGCCGTTTGGGATGTAGCTATAAACTCTATTGAAGGGTCTGAAGTCGGAACAGACGGAGTAGAGGCTATAAAAGCTATAAAAGAAGGTTTTAGAGGAGGAATACTGCTGGCAAGATGTGGCGGCCAATATAGAAGTAAGAAGTGGGAGAGTATAAGGAGGCTGGCACGATGAGGATTTACTCGGCTGTTTCAGAGATACGGTTGACTGAGGATAAGAGGAGGGTGTGCCCCGTCTCGATGACAGAGGTCAAGCGAATCAGGTAAATGGAGGTTGAATGAATATCCATTCGTTCGGCCGCTTGTGAGTGTCTGGAGAACTTGAGGTACCGTTGAATAGCCAATCGAAGTCCGTTGTGTAATTCTCGCTAATGAGGGTGGCCCCCTATGACTCCCTGAATCCGCATAGAATATTTATTTCTGGTCGACTTTAGATATAAAAAGCATCGAATTTATGACTTTGACGCTCTTGAGCATGAGATTAGAGCTCTTGGCTCGTGGTGATTCTTCTAACCATCCAGGAAGACTTTCTAGTTCTCTCGTGAAATCATGGGAGATATGCACAGAAAATGTTGCTAAAAGACCCGAGACTGTACTCGAGAGGGAGTGATGGACATTAGTTCTTGAAGATTTGTTTAATGGAAAAGCAATTAAGCCAGTTTTTTGTTGGCGATGATTGTTGAAGACCGGTGATGATATATACCATCTGAAAGATTCTATCCCTGTCTATTGATGAATCGATGCATATATAATTTCGGGACTTCTTGTGTCATCGGTATGTAGGTAGGTAGGTAGGAATCGCTACCCTCCTTTCTGGGGGCCGGCGTGCGAGATGTAGATTTCGTCGCCGTCCTGCGAGATGAGAGCTCGCCTTGTTCCATTAGCTATATTTCTCCACAAGGACACATTGAGTGGTACTCACCAGGGTATCGGGATGGGGTCCGGGTATTTATTCCTTGATCCAAGCGGCCGTCTCCTGCATCTTTACCTGAGGATTGTGCTTGTCCCTTTCCCCGCTTTGCACTCGATGAGTGCCAGAATCCGTTTGCTCGTTACGTATTGGAGCTGGCCATCTGTAACAGCTGTGAGGCTGCCTGCCTGGCCCTCAAAGTCCGCTCGCAGTGGAATTCTATCGGCGTTCCACTCACTGCCAAGCAGCCTAGCTACTATCGCCAGAGCTTGTAGAAAGGAGACCAAAGACGTGTTTACCGCCGACTCAGACCGACGGGCGAGCTTTGATCTGGCTCGATATTCCGTACAACAGACATGTCTCTGCTGTGCCAATGGCACCTTAAACAAAGTAATTTGGTGCCATTGGTTGAATATCGGGGCCCTGGCACCAATGTTCTGCACGTACACTTGGAAGTCTGGGTCCTCCAGTATAAGACCGGCTTGTTGCCCTTTCTATAACCATCGTCCGCCACGCTCGTTGCGGGCTTTTACGAAATCAATTTGATGTGAACGAATGCCTTGTCCCGGCGTTGAAAGCAATTGGATCACGAGAGTCACCTGCTGACAATAGCTCAACAATGCGTATATTATCGCGGATGTCGCGAGATGATAGAAAAAACTTGTAGCAGCAATCTAATATGACAATAAATATCAAGCGACTCAATTCTCAGCTCGAATTCAATAAAGAAGTTCAAGTTCGACGGAAAGAAAAACGAAACCCGAAGGCTAATAATAAGTAAATTTGGTAGTAATGTTGAACAGGAAGCTGTTAGGTAACTAGAGAATTTTATTCCCGTGCTGTTTGCAATGGACGAGCTAATTTATATTACTTGGACCTCCATGTCCCGCGTAATGGATCATCATGAATTTTCTGCCGGGAGTGATGACTGCACGATGCAACATGCTCCTGATTTAAAAATGGATTGGACGTCGAAGGCGGAGGCAGGATACTGCGAACTTTGAAGGGACTATATAATGTTGGAGCCTGCCTACAAACAGGCCTGTTGTCGGGTTTCTTTTCCCACGCCTTCTAGCTCTACCCACACAGATAAACAGGCTGAGGTAGTTGCTAGAGAATTCAAACTCAGCGAGCTTCGCTCCAGATATAACTTTCAGGGAAGGGAAATTTTAGCAAGTGTCAAGGTCACAGAAGCTACTTCCATGGTGATTTGTATTCGGAGTATTGACCCTTGGCAGTGATAAAGTGGTGGGAATGGTAGAGTGGTGGGGAAGATCCAGTGATAGAAAAGTTGGGAGTGATGGTGGGAAGGTGATAGGCGGCCGGACCAGAAGGCTGACTTCTTGTCGACAGGGGAAGTTAGCATTTGATACTAACTTCCCCTGTCATCTGTCGGATCTTCCAGACAGATTTACTGGATACCTATACCTACTTAGGTGCGGCTGGCTCTTATCTACGCGGGTAGCTCCATCGGCAACGGACTAGTCGGTCCCCGGTAGTGTAGGAGTTAATGGAACAGAGTTAGATTCCATTGGGGTCTAGGATGATACGCAAGCTGAGAATTCATCGTTTTCTATTTATTTTGGGTGAATAGAACACTATCGGTGATGGATTTGCTCTATGTCAGGAAGTTAACGAACTCGCAGCATGCTCACATCTCTTCACCATATGTCCGGATTATTGTAACTGTATATTCGCTGATTAGATGTATACATATTCACTTATTCGACAGATTGTTACCATTACAGTTGCTCTTCATCATGTAAATTAAAGAGACCATCCAAATGCTGACCACATATCTTGGGCAGTAAACAAATAGCTCCAGGTTCAAAGTATCATGACAAATGCAGGATCTCTATCATCATTGTATCCTCTGTACTGATCGTATTTGCCTCGTCTTTTATCCTTATTGATCTTCGCGCAGTATAAAACGTTGAATAGTATCCTGCAAGGCGGATTATTAGCAACTGATAGTCCAGATGTAGTAATCCTACTTACATGAACCATGAAAATACCAGCAGGCCAAGAATGATAGTGTGCCCACGATGGTATTGTGGTGCGTCTTTCGTGGGATAGTTGAATGCTATTGAGGGACAGTCAGTCTACTTGGAGTTGGAAGTTCTTAGATAGGTGAATCTTACTTGCGACAAAGCCACCGCAGTTCGCTATTGCCAATTGCATAGCAGACGTAGTGGCTCGCTTGTAGTGCCCGGCTGAGTTGTTCGAGTTCCAAACCAAAATACAGGGCACGCTTGCGTACATGCCGGTGGCCATAAGAAAGGTCATGCCGTATTTGACATGTGGGTTATCAACGTTAGCAATAACGGCATATCCGACAATGGCTATAGGAAGGACGAAGAGCATAATAACACCACGTAGGCGAAGACGGTCCGAAGTAAAAGCGACGAGGACTCAAATATAACAAAATTGATTAGCCTTGTTGGTGGCTATCGGGTATATACCACACTCACCTGTAATGACAGCTGCCACAGCGTAAGGGATGACAGTCCAGAGCTGGGTGTCGTTTGCATTTTTCGTTATGCCGAGTTCGTTAATTATAGTTGGTAACTACTGGGAATTAGCAGTTTCTCATGCAAAGGCAGGCAGTTTTCACATACGAAAAGGCCAAAGGAATACAGGCCAGCGAGAATAGAGAAGTACGCAGTTGCAGAGAGCCACATCTGGAGGTCCAGAATACCTCTTTTTACTTCCTTCCAGTCCAATCTTTCATGTTCATCTGCGACAACACTGTTTTAAAGTCAGACCCTCTCAAGTACATACTACAATACGAAGAAGTGAACCCACGCTTCTGCTTCGAGAGCCGATGGTCGATCGCGCGCCAGTCTTTCTTTCGCGAATATCCGCTCGTCTGGCTTCAAGAACCGGGCGGTGTCTATGCTGTTTGGTAGCACAATGAAGCTCAACATACCACAGGTGACCGTCTACCCATAGTTAATCCATCAAGGAGGTTCGTGAAAATAGAAGATAAGCGCGCTCACCAGAAGACCTTCAATTATGAGAATCCATCTCCAACCTCCCAGGCCGCTGCGTGGTCCAATCATGGCTAGTCCACGAGCGAGAAGGCCTAGAATAGTTAGTTTTGTCCTTGCCATATCGTTCTGGTTCTTACCGCCAAAAGCTCCTGATAATGATGCTGCTGTATAGAATAAGCCGATGCGCAGCGCCAAATCACTCCGTCGATAGAAAGACGACAGATACAAGACCTTGAATATAAGTCAGTGTGACCCTTGTCGAGTAGCAATTTATCTGGCCGTAATGAATGCGTACCATTCCAGGCAGTAATCCGCCTTCTGCAACTCCCAGTAGTGCTCTAACGGCAACAAAGCCAGCAAAGTTCCGGACGAAGCCCAAGCACATCGTTATAATGCCCCAAACGATCGTCAGCAGTGGTAGCCATATCTTTGGCGATACTTTCTTAATGGCCAGATTACTCGGTAGTTCACTACATCAACCTGTTAGAGCCATCGATTGAACAATCGGGGGGCTGTCAGCGACAGATGGTCCCACAGACCTGCAAACGTATGTCAAATAGAAAACAGCCAATCCGACATCGTATTGATGGTCAGTGATGTTGACGTCTTTCTCAAGACCAATAATCTTCGCATTGCCAACATTTGTGCGATCAAGGAAGGAACACAGAAACAGCAGAGCCAGCATAGGGAGGATCCTGTCCAGTAGTTAGAACAGATAGAAAAGCCATATAAATTTGATGATACCTCGTGTCAAGCTTAAAAAGAAGGCTTCTTGTTAACCGCTGTTCCCGGTCGCTATCAATGGCGGACAACTGTGACCGCGCATCCTCCACCTTTTCGTTGGTGGGTTTTGACGATTCCATTGTGAAGTAAACCCACTGCCTGATAAAATTGGGGATGTATATGAAATGTATCACGACAGATTGCTGGGACTTTACCCACGAAAACTACTGCTCAGCGTCTCCGCACACATCGCGAAGTGACTGGCCCCTCAGCCTTAAAGCATCGAAGGAGGAGCTCAGCTACAGCTCAGCTACTCACTGCGTTGCGGAAGCAGTAGTGATCGGCGCGCCAATTCCCCCGCATTGCAAACCCCGGACCCAACAGGAAAATAGGTATCCGGGGTTGATCGGCAGTCGATTGTTCCGGCCGGTGCTATTTAAACCGTACTCTAAGTCTAGACTCTAGTACTCCGTACTACTCCGTACAATACCGGGATATCATGGAGTGCTTTCTACGGTTTGACAGGATCCGTCAAGTAGCCTGTTTACTTATGTGGAAATTGGTGAATGAGTGGTCTGAAGATGAGAGATACCATTTTGCAGACCTTTCTGCTGGCTAACTGTTGTAGCTTCTGCGGTGTGCTGTATGTTGCAAGAGGGTTATTCACCAACTCAGAGATAGCCATCACGTGTCGAAATTGCTATTGGAGTGGATTATATCATGAAAGGCTGTAGTGCACTTTGCATATCTATACGTAGAGCATTTCTTCGCAGTGTAAGATTAGTAAAGCAATCACGTTGACGCTTCAACCGGCCATCTGATCGCACCGCCAACTGGGATCAACCACGATTTCGAGTCATTCTGCTGGAGAACGCTCGAAGGAATCAGGCACTTGTATTCTTTTGTTGAAGAAAAGCATGCCTCGCCAGTTCGCCAGCCGTTTTCCTCGCATCTGGATGCCAGACAAGCATTCCCTTCACGAGATCGAGAAACGCTTCCCTCTCCTCTTCCTCAAGGAAGGAAACAGTGTTGTCTAGTTTCCGGTCTGGAATCAGATCTTCGTAGAGAAATCGACCTATGATGCTTCGTGAGTCTGAGAATAATTCGTTCGAGATAGGAAACCCAATAATACCATTATCGTCAAAGAACGGGCCACTAAAGTACTCCTCCGCGGTCTCGCATACTCTGCCGTCTTCTCGTCTGACAGGCTCCGGCCACGAGTACTCTCGCATGTATTGATACCTTTGTATGATCTCTGGAGGGGGTGGACCGAGTAAAGCCACCATTTCGGCGATGTGTAGTTTAGCATCGTAGTGACCTTGTTGATCATAGATGTGTCGAAACAGCTCTCTGCCTTCGAGCATATCCCACAACTGGACTGGCGTTAGTGGATGCAACAATTTATAAAGAACCACGGGACATACCAGAACACCAAAATTCCAAATATCCGCAGGCATTTGCCATCCTATACCCAGTACTACCTCTGGCGCCCGATAGTGGTCTGGCTGGATAGGCCAGACGCCCCAGTCGTCGTCTTCCTCGAGTCTGATGGCCAAGCCAAAGTCGACAAGCTGTGGTATACTTCTCAAGCTTTTGAGTGGCCCAAAGTCGTTACGGGACTGATACACTGGTCGTCCAGTCGAATCAGTCTTGAAAGCCATCGGTTTCTCAAGCTGAAAATCCATGAAATCAGCAAGCACGGTTTGGTCCTCGAATGACACCATGATGTTTTCAAGCTTGAGATCTAGACAGTCACCTGGGCTCAGTATTACCGGCGGGGAGCAAAGCTGAAGATGAACTTACCCGTATGAACTATCCTGCATTTTTTGTGAAGATATTCAAGCCCTGTAAGAAGACCACGAATGTAAGTTTTAATGAGGGGCAGTGGCATCTTTCTATCGTGAAAGCGCCGCTGATACATCGACAATGACTCTCTCATAGGTGGATACACAAGGCACGAGTGAGTACCTCCCGGACCTTTGACTTCGAAAGAGTCCAGTAACGTTCGAATAAGTGAGCGACCGCGATGTGATGGGTCTATTGTGGAGATGTGCTCTTCAACCTCGCGCTCACGACCAGCGGAACTCGCATTGTTATTGACGATTTTTAGTGCCACGACATCCTCGGGCTCTTCAATATGCCTGTGTATTTGTTAGAGACAAAGAGGACTTCGAATTGAATAGAAATCATCGAAGGCTACCCTTGCAAATCACGCGCGAGCCATACTGTGGAAGACACGCCCCAGCCAACCTTGACGAGGATTTGGTAACGATCAGCGAGTACCTCTCCAGGCTTGGCTGGGTAGAAGTACTTGGAATCGTATACTGGCGAGATCTCTTCATCAACTAGTATGCCGGGCCATAAAGGTGGCCCGGGAGAAGGCGTGGGAAACGGTTTCTTGCGAAGCAAGGTGGACAAACGAGGAATCAGGGGCCTTATGGTGCTCATTCCAGAGTTACTCCCCGTAAGCCCACGGGATCATGTGATCTCAATAGTTGTGGAAGAAGAAGTGTTTTAAGATAGTACTCCTGCTCGTCTGCTTATTCTATGGTGTGCTAGTGTTGTTGTTCCTCGACGGTATTCGATCACTAACGTGACCTGCTAGGCCGGATCCTAGTTGACAGGGGTCATTGTGTTGCATGGGACAATCTGCCATGGCAGTTCATTATGATTACACTCCTGAATAGATATTTTCAGGTTACATTCACAAGTCGTTAAAGGTCACTCGCCTCACTACAACATAACCAACCATGTATAATCCGTTGTCCTTCGATGGTGAATCTGTTGATCTTACCGAGAGTCCGGATACTTACCGAATGGTCTGTGCGGAAAGCAAGGATGTAACTGGAAGGTAACATCGGCGCAAGGAACAACAGACGATAAGCGAGATTCGATAGTGATGGAACGGGAGCATTTCCGATGTCGCCAAAGATAAAGAGGTGGCATTTGGGCGCATCTGTGCGCTGTACTCCCACGTTTGCCGTTACTTAGTAGTGGAACGGCCGGCTTGTCTTTGTCGCTGATTAACGTCTGGAGACTTCTTTGATGGAGATGGCAGAGAGATGAATAGCGAAGATGGAAGATGGAAGATGGAACCGAGGAACTTCGTGCAGCTTTATTGGTTCCTGAGCAATAATTACCTGGGAATGCTGAACGCTGATCGATTCAAGCTCAGCGCAGGAATGGAAAAGCTCAATGGTTTTCCAGCCACATCCAGCCCAGCCATCCACGAACATCTCCAGGCTGATCGCGCAGAGTTAACGAAGTTAATGAATGAGCTAGCATCATCCCACAGCGGATGGTTCCATTATCGGGCCAGGGCTATCTTTATCCAGCAAGTTGCATTGTCTTGGCCGCGAAGAACAATGAACGTCAACGGAGAACTTATAAGCAGCTCTGGCCTCTCTCCACCAAAGTATTCTCTCGTTCAAGGCCTGTCTTGGTTGCTTCATTTTCTTGCTCTCGTTTTCGACTGTGCTAGCTCAACGAGTGTTGCTTGCTGGAGATGCGCATCGCTGGCGCTCTCTCCGCCCTGGCCGCTGTGGCCTCGCTGGGCTCCGTCGCAGCTGTCGCGGTCAACCCGTTGCCAGCTCCGCGCAACATCACTTGGGGAACCTCAGGTCCCAAGGCTGTGTCCAGTTTCCTCACTTTAAATGCTCCCTATAATCAGACCATCTACGAGGCCTGGGATCGCACCCTGACCAGCATCATCTCGCTACGATGGACGCCAGCCGCCGTCGAAGCTCCCATCTCCAGCTACGAAGCTTTCCCCACAGCGACCCCCAAGTCTAAACGCGCCGCATCAGCCACAGTGACAGCAGTGAAGGTGCATATCGATGATCTGACAGCTGACTTGCAGCATGGAGTCGATGAGTCGTATACCCTCGATGTGACTGCAGATTCACCCAGCGTCAACATCACTGCGAAGACTGTCTGGGGAGCTCTGCATGCATTTACCACACTCCAGCAGATTGTCATCTCGGATGGCAAAGGCGGCTTTCAGATCGAGCAACCCGTGAGCATCACAGATGCGCCGCTATATCCAGTTCGCGGTGTCATGGTCGACACGGGCCGCAACTTTGTCTCCATCAAGAAGATCCTCGAACAACTCGACGGTATGGCTCTGTCGAAGATGAATGTCCTGCACTGGCATCTGGATGACTCGCAGTCGTGGCCAATGTATATCAACGCCTATCCGGAGATGGTCAAGGACGCATATTCCCCTTCAGAAACATTTACGCACGCCGACCTGCTGCATGTGATCGCATACGCTCGTGCTCGCGGCGTCCGCGTACTTCCTGAAGTTGACATGCCAGGACATTCTGCAGCTGGCTGGCAGCGAGTTGATCCCAGCATTGTGTCCTGCGCCAACTCGTGGTGGTCAAACGATGACTATACATACCACACGGCTGTCGAACCCACCCCAGGCCAGCTCGACATATTGAATAACAAGACCTACGAGGTCGTCAAGAACGTGTACGATGAGCTGTCCAGCCTCTTTGTCGATCATTGGTTCCATGTCGGTGGTGACGAGCTCCAGACAAACTGCTACAACTTCAGCAGCGACATTATGACATGGCTGGCTCAAAACTCGTCGCGCACCTGGGACGATGTCGCCCAGTACTGGGTCGACCATGCGATCCCGATCTTCCAAAATGTCAGCTCTACTCGACGACTAGTAATGTGGGAGGACATCTTCAACGCAGAGACGCACGCCCACACCGTCCCCAAGGATATAGTCCTGCAGACCTGGAACGGTGGCTTGACAAACATCAAGAACCTCACTGCCAGCGGCTACGATATTATCGTCTCGTCCTCCGACTTCATGTACCTCGACTGTGGCTATGGCGGCTTCGTTACAAACGATCCTCGTTACGACGTCATGAGTAACCCAGACCCCAACACTCCCAACTTCAACTACGGCGGTAACGGGGGCTCCTGGTGCGCTCCGTACAAGACCTGGCAGCGCATCTACGACTACGACTTCACTCTCAACCTCACCGACTCTGAAGCCAAGCACGTCCTTGGCGCCATATCACCGCTATGGTCCGAGCAGGTCGACGACACCGTCATCTCCGGCAAGATGTGGCCTCGTGCCGCCGCTCTTGCGGAACTGGTATGGTCTGGCAACCGCGACGCCGCAGGCAAGAAGCGCACCACACAGATGACACAGCGTATCCTCAATTTCCGCGAGTACCTCGTTGCGAATGGCGTCCAGGCGGCGCCACTCGTGCCCAAGTACTGTCTATCTCATCCGCACGCATGTGATCTCTACTACAATCAGACCGTGATTCAGTAAACACATCCCATTGTACATATGCATGTGGAGATATCATCTGTTGGTTTTATTGCTAAATTTAACATCTGAAAGCGTTTCTGCCTCGATGAGGGATGTCGCATGTTAGCATCTATCTATCTTCTAATGTACATAATTTCTACGCGATTGAAATAAAATAATCAACCTAGCTGCATAATGGAGTAAGAAACAAGCACAAAATAAGATGGTTAACATCTCTCGAATTCCCTTCCCCAGATTAATAGGAGTAAATGTCTATAGGATGTATCTAACAACCACTCCATCTCTAATCAATGACACCATCATCTTGTAGATATCATCTATCTATCTATCTGACATGCATCAATCTCATTCCCATCAACTTAGTCATACACCTCCTCATACGCTTCTTCGTACTCTTCTCTCGCCTCCTGCAGATCCTCGACGTCACTGCTCGACGCAGAGGGCGGGTACTCAGGAGGGGCAGAGTACTCCGCTGCGCGCTCTTCTGCGCGTCCTTCTTCCTCGCCTTCTTCTCTTTCTTCGTCTGTGAAGTTGATATAGTTAGTTAATATTCATTCAGATGATAATACAACGTGAAGACAAGAGAAAGGTGTTAGTGCTAGCAAAGGGGAAACATACTAAACTCATGCTCCAACAGAGCACCACCAATCGCACCAGCAGCAACTCCTATCGCTCCCGCAGCGACAATCTTGCCTGTGTCACTGTGCTTTTCCTCTTTCTTCTCCTCAACGTAATACTCGCCTGGCGGGGGACCAGCCGGAGGGGCATAGCCACCTCCATAAGGCTCAGCGCGAGGAGCGTCGTAGCCGGGCGAGTAAGGTGCCTCCCATTGCGAACGGCCGGTGGATTGGTCAACGTAGAAGGCACGCTGGCTGTATGAATCCCATTGCTGGATCCAGCCAGCGGGGAGTGGTGGGGGAGCGACGGGAGGAGGACGGTATGAGGGAGGAGGAGCGCCGTAGGGCTGCTGCTGTTGAGGAGGGTAGGAAGGTTGGCCGTATCCGGGCTGGCTGTATGGCTGCTGCTGGCCGTAGGGGGCATCGTAGGGTTGCTGGGGAGGAGGTGGTGGAGGACGGCCGTAGGAGTCGTAGCCGCGAGAGACTGGTAGGAGGGTGTTAGTTTGGCTTCAGAGAGAATATGATAGAAAGAAGGAATGAAGAGCGTGGTTGTTTCGAGTGTTAACGTCTCGATCGAGGGTTTGTGTATACATACCTTCTTGTCTCTCCTCGTGCTTGTTGAAGAGGTTCATATCTTCAAACTTCTTTAAGAACGACATGGTTTCTGAGTACTATCGTATCCGTGCGCTGTATCTGATATGATATGATATGATATGATCGAGTCAAAGTGTTGGAGATTGATTCAATATGCAATAAAAGTGTCAGAGTGCTGGAGGGTTCTTGAAATCCAGAAGACAGCCCCTCTATTTAAATACCGCAAGCTGAACCCCAAGACACTAGACAGACTGCTGGGCTGCTTGGCAGATCCGCTGACTCAAAAGTCTGTGGTTGTCACCAACTACTAGTTTGCTAACTAATTAGCAGTGAATCTATTATTATTCCAGTATAGATAGCACTGTTAGTAACAGTTTGAGAGATGAATGATCCATAAATACGTGGGCCCGCTCCGTACCCCATATTTCCTTTTTCAGCCACAATGGCAGTGCAGAGCTGCGTCTATTAACCGGAAGACTGTTGATGATGACATGGTTTCTTTGTGTATTCAAACAAGAACTTGAGTGGTACACAGTATAATTAGTACTTGATACATTACCATGTCCCATGCAGCAGTAGCTACCTGTTATCCTAATTAGAAGGTAGCTCATGTTTTCAGCTGGATAAAGACAACATCGATCTCGAGATAGTAAGCCTTCTTAGGCAGTGATCATTCTAAATTGGGGAACCCCGTGGAAGCCTATCATGTCATTTTCATGAACGTTCTAGCGTGCAAGACACACAACACATGGCGCGCGCCAACCTGCTGGCCAAGAACCATGGATTGCATCTTCCGTTCCGAACGGGAACTCCCGATATCTCGGCGTGTGGCTCGGTCACTTTCGGAGCTTTTCATTGGCCCTGCCCAGCCACAGATGGCGCGCCTCGCAACGGCGTAGTGCGACGTTAGTGGCCCACCGGCTGACCAATAGCGCAGCCCCTGACTCAACCGCCAGACGTTCTTCCATCTGTTCAGTCGAGAGCTGCGCCAGACGGGTGCTTCTCATATTCAGATATCCATGGGTTGCAAGATGGAGAGAAGCATGTCTTCTTCTTTCCTAAAAAGCAGCTCTCATGCTTTAAATCGATCTTGAGGAATCCAGACGTACCGGAGGGGCACTCCGGAAACTGCATGGGAAAGAGCAACCCCCATCGAGATGGATAAAGTGCAGTACATACGCTTTTATCAAACTGTGTAACCACCTGTGTAGATATGTACCGTTAAGACTATCCATTCAATCAAGCAAGGCCCTCAGTGGCCATTTCCTTTGATTCTACATTCGCTAGGCATTTTTCTCTTCGCAAATGCATCTTTTATCATATGTCTCCGCTGTCCTCGTAAGTTCAGCAGCAGCAAAGTCCTGCATTAACCAAACCATCCCCGTCAATATCACCGCTCGTATAGGTTTGTTCGATGAGAATATCATTCCGCAGAATGGTATCGAAACCGTCACTTTCATACAGAACCTCACACGGCGAGGAGTGAACTTTACGGATACTGCGCTTCTGGGTTATGAGACGATTGGCGGAACCTATAATATCAGCACCCAGCTCTGCAGCCCTGATAGACTGTCGGATGATGGGCGGAAGAGGATAGTGCAAGTGCTTACGCATGGTATAGCCTTTGATAAGACGTACGTACCTATAGAACTACGACCAGTAGTTATGGAGTTATTTGTGGATTGCCAATCACTAACCACACTATTTGAACCAGATACTGGGACTTGGCGTTTGATGATTATAGTTACAGCTATGTCGATGTAGAAACAGATGATTATGGTTTCTACACCCTCAGCTACGATCGCCTGGGAATCGGCCAGTCTTCTCATGGCTCCCCACTGGAAGTCCAGTTACGGCTTGAGGTAGAAGCATTGCACGCTCTGACTGCCATGCTTCACGAAGGCAGCTTCCCAGACGTTGATGTAGACTTTGATGCAGTCATCCATGTTGGCCATTCATTCGGATCCCTTCAGTCACTTCTTCTTACGGCTCTCTATCCCAACATATCAGATGCAGTGGTCCTGACGGGGTTCTCGTCTAATGCCTCGTACCTGAATATCTGGACAGCAGGGTGTGATTTCCAACTAGCTCAATACAACCAACCTTCTCGTCTAGGTAGCTACCTATGGGGCGTGACTTTGCAATCCGTCGCAGCAGAGACGCCATTCGAGGACCTGCTTGCAGGTATCAACATCGAAGCCACACGTGAATCATACAATTATGGTCCCGGGTATCTAGTCCCTGGGAATAGAAACTCGTTACAATTTGCGTTCTTGGCAGGAGGACATTTTGACCCGTCCATACTTCCCTATGCGGAAAGTATCAAGCAGCCAACTACCCCTGGCGAACTTCTCACTTTGCGCAGTGCTCCTGCAGAAAGTACCTTTTCAGGTCCGGTCATGGTACTAACTGGCGGTAAGTCATCTTTAGTAGTTGTATTTCTTCATGACCCATGCATGGTTCGGTTCTCTGATGAACATATCAATATCTATAGAATTCGACGTCCCATTCTGCGGGGGAAACTGTCTCGATACCGGTGACCCTGCAGTGACAGCGATTCCAGATACAGTTAGGAGCATCTTCACCAAGATAAATGATGATGATTTCTTCTCATACGTACAACCGAACACGGGCCACGGGATTAATATGCATTATAATGCTACTGGTGCTTACAATGTCATTGGACAATGGCTTCGATCCAAGGGTTTAGCGCCCAGGTAGATTAGATGGGACAATATATTCTTAGCAGTACTTGATATCCTTGGAATTAGATCACTACCTCTACCTCTGCGTACGTATTATACAATGAAGACCGTTGACTCTGTCTTCTCTTGAGGTATTAATCTAGTCCGATTCCATTCCATTCACGACCGTATCCTGTCATACCCATATAGACATACACATACACGAACACGTACCCGTACACAAGACAAGCCATCATCGCGATTCGGATCCCAGATTAAAAAGAAGAGGAGATACATGAAATAATAAACACATACAGAGAAACGAAAGGAATGCCCCAGCCCCTGATTCTTTTCCATTTCAATAAGAAAGAGATCTGAACTAACCACACGGATGCTACTTCTCCTCTCCACCTGCACCACTACCACCACCTATATCCACAACGACTCTCAAATCGCCATCCATCCAGTCCACCGTTCCGGCAGAGAGTTGAGCGATGGTCCATTCGCCATCATTCTGAACGGGGACAAGACCTTCCGGGAGCCAGACTTTGAATTTCCATCCGGAAGCGAAGGAATTCGAATTCGAGGACCAGTTACCGTCAAAATCTTGAACTGGTTGAGAAGAGGTTTCGGGAAGCTGGCCGGCGAAGCGGCGACCGATGAGTTGTTTGGCGGTTTCGAGATCTGGGCATTGGTGTGCGGGGATGTCGAAGCGGGGGAGAATACGTTTGTTGTTTTGGAGGATGTTAATGCGGAGGGTGATGGGGTATTGTTGTGATGAGGAGGAGGTGGTGTTGTTGGTGTTGGATGCGCCTCCAGTGTTTGTTGTAGGCAGAGGTGGGAAGTTGGATTGTTGTTGTAATTGTTGGAAGAACTGGGTTTGGGCGGCGGAGACCGAGTCTTGGGCGGAACTGCTCTGTCGAGGGGCTTGTGGAATAGGAGACTGTCCTTCGCGTCGGGATGCGAGGCTGTCGCGGATGATACGAGAAACGTCTCGGGTGATGCTGCTCGCACTGCAGGAGGAGGGATGTTAGTCGCTGTATGTGATAGAAAATACAGAGGAAGAGTAAATGGGACTTACAATTCATTCCTGGCTGGGGTATTTCCATTCCCACCTACTCGCCAATTCAAATGTGAGACCGGATCAGACTGGACAATCCGGTTAACGTTGTACTCTTCGCAGGGCCCGCCGCAGTTATGGTCGCCATTGTGGACGATTTGATAATGACTGTCAACAGCAGCAACCAGGCCACGCCAGTCCGGCTGTTGCAGACCGGATACTGACCAAAGATTGTCCAGCTGTGAGTCGTAATTATACATATCGTACGATCTACAGACCACACCCCAGTCTGTTGGGTATCCCTCCATCACCAAGTCGGTCAGGCCCAGGTGCATGTCTTCACCTGTTGACTGCATCGGCGGCTGTGGCTGTGGGGGAGCCGGAGTCTGCGCAGGCGGCGAAAATTGGTGTTGCATCTGAGGGTGCTGGTTATTCGCAGACTGCTCTGGGATAGCGTGGAGATTCTGAAGATTGTCATCTGTCTTTCGTCGCCTTCGCTCATCGGAACCGCCACCTTTTCGAGTCTCAATGGCATATTGACGCTGCCTCTCATTGGTAACCATCCGTCGAAGCAGTGGAATAACCAACGATATGATCTTGTGCTGATCCCGTGGCCATATATACTGTCTGGGACCCATTCCTTCGTTGAGGACGTTCTCGCCGAAAAATCGCTCTCCGTGTCCTTCAACTTCCAAGAAATGCCTCACACAGTTCCATAGCTTCAGCTTAACCATCTCCGTGTCACCCTTTCCTCTCTGACCGACACAATCCCGTCGTTCCGGGTGATTGTCATCCAGCATATACGCTTTCGCTGCAGCCTGCAAGTGTAAGAAGTTTTCCGGCGACAATTCCAGGGATGCGAAGAGCTTCGACATCGGAGGTCGCGTGTATTTCTTATTGCTCGACGGCTGACGGAATAGTGCCGCAGCGGAATGCACACCCGCAGCACGGGCATCCGAGAGCGACTGCTGAGGCGGCAGTTCTCTAATGTTCAACCCGTCACCATCCATGTGATGCTGCGATTGGTGCTGATGACCAGCCAGGTTCATACTGGAGGCAGAGGCAGTCAGCGCCGGATCAAGAGCATCTTCGTTTCTTTTTCTCTTTTTAGATACTGTCCTCGAGAGACCAGACATGTTTCCGTGAGAGCTGATCGCAGGCGTCGACGCCGAAGGTCGCAGTCTGCCCATCGTCGGCGGCGGGCCGCCAAAGCTCGTATCGGCAAAGCTGTCATCTTCAAGATGCATGTCGCCTCCATATCCATCTAGGTGATGATGTCCAGCAGCTCCAGCCGCCGCCGCAGCAGCAGCCGCAGCGGCCCATTCCGAAACATCCTGGCCAGCAGCAGCTGTCGCAGCTTCCACAAGACCCGCGAGCTGGTTATCGCTGGGGGTATAGCCAGTAGATGTCATTTGTCCATTCGCATCGAGATGCGATCCATGAGAATGTTGCGTGGAGAAGTCGTTCGAATTAGGAGGATGCTGCGAATGAGGCGCGGGCGTAGACGTCATGGCTAGGACTGTCCCCGGTGATATATCAATTCGTCGCTCGTTTAATCGCTAGACCGATCAGTAAATTATGATGCGATCAGACGATACGGATCTGCGCAAAGTACTTCAGTATCTATCTATCAGCTTGACACTCATAGTTCCCTAGCGCGCGTCGTCCACTTACTGTCGGTATTCGCCTCTTAATTGCGCCGCAAACGAACAAAGCCAGCAATAACGAACTCAGCGCGAACTTCCTGCTCCGCAGTCCAGCGATCTCAATACTCGTCGATGATTATAGCTGCGAGGCGCTAAGCTTGCGATATCGAGCTTCGACGCGTTCTAGCGGCGATCATACAAAGGGATCCCAACAACAACACAGCGCGCAGTCTTGCCCCCCCGGCCTGCGCGCTCCGGGGTAGAGCCCCGTAAGGCGATCTGAACCCTGACAGAAAGAGAAACGGCGCGTATGACTTCTGTCTAGATCGTCAGTGGCCTAAGCACCGACGATATAGAATATAGATGAATCGGTGACTGGTGTTTGCTTCGTTTGAAAAGCTGTTGTGATGGTTTGAAGAAGAAGCCGACAATGCAAACTTGGCGGGGAGTCACGGGTGCCACGTCATGTGATTCCTAATGTCATGTGACGCTCCCGGTGTATTGCGCGTTCATTACGCATGCGTGTAATTGATACGTACAGGAGTTACTGCACTATTCCAAGATCAACAATTGAAACCGACCATTTTGCCTATCCTAGTTTTAATAGATGGATCCAATATAGAAACGGGACGCCAGATCGTAGTCCGTGCAGAAAAAAAGTAGACATCAAACAGAATGCAAGCTCATATCGAAACAGATGCCTTCGCCTGACCCTTTTAAGAAAACTGAAAAACCAACCCCCGTCGTGCCCGATTCCCTCGGGTATAAGTATGTACCATAAGTGTCAAAAGATAATAGAGAAAATTCATTTCCACCCACCAGCTGAGACGGGAAGGGAAGAATAAAGCCCTTCTTCTCCCAGGCTTCTACCAGAAGCCAATTCCCCGAGGAGGGCTCTTAATACATGGTTAGAATGCGAGATAATGGCTGAGATCCTTGACCTAGCAGTATATCAATGTCGGAGTATTGATAAAAACCGTGGGCTCGGGCCAACACGAGACCACAACAGCAGACAAGAACGATGGTTCATGGAGGTCATCAGCGGACTTAGAAACCGTCGCCCTCTTTCCACGGTCGCCCAGCCTCCTTTGCACGGTGGCGAGGGTCGTTTCCTCGCTCCATGGCCGCCATCTTCAAATTGTATAGCATCTGGTTCTTCTGGTCGATCTGTTCCTGCAGAATAGCATCTCTTCCCACCTCCGGGATCTCTAAGTCGGATGTCTCACCCAGGAGACCGCTGGCACGAGCGTTTTCAATATCCTGGGACTTCTCCCGCCATCTGTCGAGTTCCTCCTGCAGATCGTTTCGTTGGAACCGAATCCCAAAAAATTCGTCCATTTCCGCCTCTCCGCCGAAGCAGAGGCCAAATCCGTCACAGTAGCAAACGTTCTGCAACGGACAGAAGACGTTTTCGCCGGTGAAAACGACATGCCACAGGTATTCCCACACACGGCCCGAAATGTAGTCACTCAACTCGGTTCTTAGCAACCAATCCCGGTAAAAGACGAAGCGCGATTTGGGGATCGCCAGGACTCTCTCCCGCGAAAGGGCAAACTGGGCGCAACAGGGCTGCGCAAGTACGTCTGGAATCGGGTCATTGGGGAAGATCTCGCTCCAAGATCGAGCCAACATGGTCTCCTCCTGTTTCGACGAGTCTTCCTCCAGTGTACCCGGGTGCATCCAGTCCGGACAACCCGGAGACCAGTTGCACCGCATATTCATATATCCCTCTCTAGCAACACGGTTCGGGTTGAGCCGTCGCAGCATCTCTGCCGCGTTCCAGTCGAGGATATCATCGTTGTGCCAAGCCATCTGGTGCGCATGCATGAATGCCATGATATCCGGCAGATTCTCATAATTGTCGATGATGAAAGTCAAATAGACCATGACCTCGTGGCCCTTGTTCTTCGGGGGATGGAGCGGCGCAGATGGATCGTCAGCCACGTAGACGGCTGCCTCCCAATCAGGCAGTTCTCGTTCTATCCACTCAGTGTCCTCCTCTTTTATCCGGGGCACCACCAACATCTTCGAATAGAACGAGCCTGGTGGCTTCGCAGTGCCGGGCGCGTAATGTGGGCGAGGGCCATAGGGAAACTTGGTCGGGCGGTCTTGTTGTGTGCTGATGTTGAATGCCGATGCGGAAGGTTGCGCACTTGATGATGACGACGACTTTGTATCAGAGACCGACTCGCCCATCCCCACGACCTGCGGGATTTCGCGCCATCTTTCCCCGTCCCTGAGTCGCCGGAACGACAGCACGAGCAGGACGAAGAGAACAACGCCGACGAGGGAAATCGTCCGTCTGGAAGAAAGCATGGAAAAAGGCGAGCGAAGGAATCAGAACTAAAGGGGGCAGGAACTAGAACCACCTGCAGCAGAAGAATGATCGTCAGTCCTGGACCATCAATTCCAGTAAAGATATTCCGTAGCAGCGAAGAGTCCTCCCACAGTGTGTAGACAGAGTCTCCGGTTCATCTAGAAATCCATTTGCAGACGTACTTAGGCTCGAAGGTCCAGCATCGGCTCGAATGTTGAGGATGTCAGAAGGGCAGCGGACAATGAGGGCAGACTGATGACATCCCAGCTGCTGAGTCCCCCGGCGGTCGAAAACGGCGCAAATAACTGTTGTAGCCCTTGGGACCGATGCAGAGGCACTACAACCACAGCAGCAACAATAATGTCGATGGGATGAATGGGATGGCAGTTGAAGAAAAGGCTGGCCTCGTGCGACAGTACGGCCAGGACAACGACGCGAACGGGAGAGAGGCGGGCCCCGGTGGATGTGGGTGACGAGCGCACGCCCGCGCTCACTGGACGGTGGCAGTTGGCGTCCGCAGAGGCAACGGGCGGCCCTTTTGGGGGCGGCGATTTTGTCCAGATCCGAGATCGTATTGATCAATTGTTATTATCATTATTATCCAGCTTGCTGATCCAGAAGGGAGGACAAACAACCGCAGTCTCTGACAGAGCCCGTGTTGCCATGACGCCGCGACGAACCCCTCTAAATACCCGGCCAGCTGGCATCCCAGTCTGAGTCGTCCGTGGTTCCAGTTCAAACCCTTGACGACCAGATCTTCCAGTCGCACCAGGGAAGGCTTGGCCAGAGTCTTGTTACGACGACGCTGGGAGCAGATAGATTATAATAATGGAGGAGCGTAGGCTCTGAGCTTTTCGCCGCCGTGATCGGCAGCATCAGATTCCCACTTCGACGGCCACACCCTGAAGCTAGCTAAGGCACGACTGAGCGTGCCTGGGGACCGATCGACAGGGGCTTCCAGCATCTGCCTTGATAAATGACATTCGGCGAGACTATGTCTGTTTGAGTCTTTAAGACGTAACTATATGGCATTGATCTATCGTTCTATACAGCATACGAGCAGATATATTGGTGGCGATATTCCAGGTAGCTACAAGTATATCACGAATGCAAAGAATGCTTGTCTGCAACAAAAATAAAAGATATTCCTTTTTACTATATGATGTGCTGTGCTTATCTCTTCCAGTGGGAAATGCTAGGTGGAATACACAATGTATATCGAGACACAAACAAGATAGCGGGTATTGATCCTAAGTCGTATACACAACGCCTGATCGCACAAATTCCAAGTCACAAATTATCATTACAAGAAACCAGCTGAAACGAAGAAAAATGCATTTCCATCGCTTAAGCATCGTCATCTGCAACCTCTTCAACAGTTGCAACGCGACTTTTGCCCTTGGACGATGACGAAGCCGACGGTGACGACGTATCAACAGAGCTACTCGGCTCACCACCAGGCTTTTCCACGGCGTTCAAGTCAGACGGGCCCTCCATTCTATCTGACGCCGGCTCCTGCAGAACATCTGTCCACTCTTGCGATGGTGACTCTGAGCGTACCGCGTTCTCTGGAACGGATGCAGGAACTGATGCAACGGCCTCTGGGCTTTGATTGTCCGAATTGGACGTGCCCGAAGTTTCCTCAGCCGAGCTGCTGGTAGTGCGGAGTTCGTCACTAGAGCGAGACTCCATTTCAGGTGCCTGCGCGGGACTCGAGGTAGATGGTTGCGTCGTAGGAGTAGGCCCTGCTGCTGCGGGAGGATGGCTGGACGGCAACAGCCCACCAGGGCCCTGGGCGGCATTATGAAGTGGGAGAAGTGTCCAGCCGGGAGGCAGAGTGAGTCCTTCGGGGAGGCGACTGTCTCCTGCTCCCATGGGTGGAGTCTGTGGGCTTGAGAAGAATTGCCGATGAAGCGTCATAGCAGGAGGAACTGGAGCATTCGCTGAGGGCACGCCTGCGTTGTTCTGGTTATCTTGGAGATTACGGAGCCTATGCAATTCCGCTTGCAGTAATCGTACAACGTGAAGTTGATCAGCAGCGACGCGCAGGTTATTAATCTCCTGGTTCATCTGCTGCTCGATCTGCTGTAGCTGGCCTTGCATGTTGGCGAAGTTGTTGGTGAGGGTAGGCTGGGCAGGCGCTGCAGGCTGAGGTGGTGGCCGCCCGAAACCGAAACCAAATCCTATCTGCTGTGCGCCTGGGAGAACGTTAGGAGGAGCAGCGGGTGGCGCTGGGACATTCCCTTGGTGAAGTTGTTGATGGAGATTCTGGAACAGGTCTCCGCGGCCAGCACCGAAGCCAATCCGGAAAGGTCCAAACTGGTATATCCTCGCCCTCGGCTGCCCATCCATAGCAGGCAAGTTTGGACCTGCTGGCTGATTTGGTCCTGCTACACCAGGCTGGCCTCCAGCAGCGGCATCATTAGGTCTGCCGTCGTTATTGACAGCCCCGCCATTGAAAGCCCGGTTCCGCTGAGGTACGACAACGGGTCGTCGACAGGTAGGACAGTTTTGCTGTCTTTCTAGCCAGCTTCGTAGACAAGAAAAGTGAAGGATGTGACCACAAGGCAACTTCTTAGGGCGCAGACGGTCAGGGATGTTCGCCCTGGGACGCGCGGGAGCAGCTCCAGCATCAGCGCCAGGCGCAGCAGGTTGCGCCCAAGGGACCATTTCCTCGCGGCAAATAATGCAAACATCCTCGCGACTCATGTCCTCGGCTGTAGCATCGGGATAGCGTTCATTCATATCCCTAGTAGCGTTGCGGTAACGTACGAAATCCACGATCCGTTTACCAAACGAGCGTATTGTGACCACAACGTCGCGCAGAATGTGAATCGGGAGGCCGTAGAAAGTAAAGAGAATGGCAAAGAAGGACAGATAGACCACGAGTTTGAAAAAGTCGGTAACAAGGTCGAGGTAGAAAACCCATCGGCCTTTCTCCTCCCAGCCTGGCACGTCGAGCTCCATCTCATCGATATCGTTCTCATCGGGGAGGGGAGCTGTAGAATCGCTTTGTCCGGTGGCCGCACGTTGCCGCAACGCTTCCTCTCTCTCTGCGCGCAATTCAGCTCTGCGTTCCTCAAGCTTCATTCTCTTTTGTCTGTGTGTTATATATAGTTCGACAAGGGAGATCGCATATCTGGCAGCCGTCGAGGTGGACAGGATCGTCAAAACCGCGAATTCGAAACCGAACATCACCATCATGTCTGGCCTAGCTTGCTGAAGGACTGTCTTTACGGAGTACTTGAGCATGAAGGAATCGAACAGGACGGAAAGAACGAGAGACGTCGCAAGGCGGGTATGAAATAGGAGCGGGTTCGAAGGCGGTTGCTGCTCCAGTATCTCCAGTCGCCCTTCGCCAATCCATCCCCAGACCTTTCCAGCCAGAAGACACACAAACATCACCAGAAACCAACCTCCGAGTTCGCCGCGGAAGATGGTCATCGCCAAGCAAGTTTCCGTGACTGCGAACCAGGCCTTCTCGTACAGCTGCTCCGTCTCGATCGGCCGTAGAGGGCCGTACAGCAACCGCTGCAGGCCATAGAGTAGAAACCCAACAACCACTAGACATAGATTCGTCAAGATCTGTATCTGGTCAGAACTGCTCCTGTCTCAAAGAGAGCGGAGACTAGCTTCCATGGGGCATCTATTGGGGAAGCTCACCATCAGATTCGCGCTGCTCTGGGAAAGATAGACACAGGCAGAATAAAAATTGGCTCTCTGGTGAAGAGCCTTCAAGATCACGCCCGCGGCTAGAGCCACAGAGGCCTGGAAAACAGTCAGCTGCATGCTCCGTGGCTGCTCTCAAAGCGGACACCTACCCCAGTATACGCCGCCAACCTCATGACGAAGGTCCAAAAGTGATCCGGATGAAGCTTGTTGTCATGGACGGGAACAAGTTGAGATACAAGGTATCGTCAAGAAGACATCGTCCTCCCAGTCATGCCAGCATCCCTGGATTCCTTCGACAGACTGTATACTCAGTCGTAGGAGAGTCGCGTGTTATCGTCTTGCGTTCTGGACAGCTATGCTCTCCCGTCTTTTCGCCGACGCCCGCCCTCCGCATATTACGTCAGCCGTCGGCTCGGAATTTATCAACCCGTAGATGGTTCGGGAAATCCCCACAGGCACGTTGATGGCAACTGCTACTTACAACACGATCGTCTCAAAGCAGATGCTTGCTTTATCAGTAGTATTGGCATTATTGCAGGCCAGATTCATATTCAGCGCACTTCTTACGGGAATACAATATCACTCTCCTCCTTGGCTAATTGAGCTAAGGGAGAAATATGTAAATGCATGAACTGCGATGGCTGCAACCCGACAATATATTTCTTTAACATGAGGCAATTATATGCTCGTGATTCTGGGATGAACTGGCTCATCTCCAATCTCTGCCATCTTCTGCTCCAGCAGAACCGTCATTTCCTTCACGATATCCTGATAGCGTGGTTCATGATACACGTTGAATAGTTCGAGAGGATCCTCCTGGCAGTCAAACAACTCCCATTCCTTCTGATCCTCTGCCCCTGGATGTGCTCCCGGAACTTCTAATGCCTCGTTGTACCAATAGATAAGCTTGTAACGGTGATTACGGATACCATAGTGGGCATACGCATGGTGGATAATATCGTTGTGCATCCAGTACCGGTGATAAGCAATTTGCTTCCAGTCCTTGGGCGTTTCTCCACGAAGGAGAGAACGGAACGAAGTGCCCTGCATATAACTCGGTATCGGTAGGCGGGCAAAGTCGAGCCAAGTCGCTGCGAAATCCACATTACAGATGATGTCGTCGCAAATCGAGCCCGCCTTGATCTCATTGGGGTACCGAATGAGAAAAGGCATCTGGAAGGATTCCTCGTACATGAACCGCTTGTCAAACCAACCATGTTCTCCCAGGAAGAAGCCTTGATCAGATGTATAGATGACAACGGTATTCTTTCCCAGTTCAGGTTCCTCGTGGTCCAGATAATCAAGGATTCGACCAACATTATCATCAATCGACTGGATGGTTCGAAGGTAGCGCTGCATGTAGCGCTGATATTTAAACTCAGCCAGTTGCGACTGAGATGAGAATGTAAAGACAGTGCCAGTATCCTTGTCTATAAGACGCAATTTTGGTGCCCCTAGGGGCTCCAGTAGTGGTCGCCCGCGCCAGCAGCCAGCTTAGTCAGCAGAGTAGTAGCCAGATAGATCAGTTCAGCTCCCCCCTAGATAGCTTCCTTAATTAAGTATCTTTGTCAGCTCTAAGAGGTTATAAGCCCGGCTTAGTCTTATTACTATTTTAAATAAATGAGCCGGATATCTTAGAGCTTTAATTTAATAAAAAGCTTTAATTAAAACGATATCTATAATAAGAAGTTAAACTAACAGATCTTTATCCCTAAATAGACTAATCTTTTAAGATAATAACCCTATCTCTAGTGTTAATCCCTTTAACAGCTCTAATAGTTATAATTTATTAAGGATTAAAGCTGCTAAAGATTATATAGGATAAAATACCTGTAATAGCTAAATAATTAATTGATAATAATAACTTTAATAACTAGCTTTAATTAGTTAAGGAAGTCCTTAGAACAGTAGACTATAAGGATTTAATTAATATGTTTATTAGGAGACTTATACTCTAAGATAGAGCTGAAGTTTATAAGATATAGAGAAAGCTTAGCTTAATAGTAAAGAGCTAGATTAGTAGTTAGATTAACTGTAAGCTAATTAAAATTATAAGAATTATGCTGAATAAGCTAATCTATATAGATAAGTATATTGAAGTAATTAAAAAGATTATTAACTACAGCTTAGCTTTAGGCAGACTTTTTATATTCTAGTAAGTTATTATTATAACTAAATCCTAATATAGAATAATTAAACAATATATTATTAAATTTAGAGATTATATAATAAAATTAAATAATATAGGCTTAACTCTCTCGCCCTTTAGTGTAGTAATATTAATGCTTAAATAGCTTAAATCTAAAATATTAGCTTAGACTAACTCCTACTATGTTAAATAGGCTTAGTAAATTAAACCCCTAACTAATATAATAATAGAGGAATTCTAGCAATTTAGCTTTAAAGCTATTGACTAAACTAGATTTTATAAAAGCGCTTAAGCAGTCCCTGCTATATCTGCGAATAAGACTCCTATCTAAGAGACTAGATAATTAAATAGATTATTAAAGGGTCTATCTTTAAGTAAAGACCCTTTGGACTTCGCTTGTAAGATATAAGAGAAGAAGCTATTTTTTAAAGGCAAATATAGATATTACTATATATTTAAATATAACTCTATAAATTATTATTGCCTTAAAAAAGAAGTCCCTAATTAATAGCATTTATTAAGGAGCATTTGGACTCTGCTAAATTAGAAGAAAGTTAACTTTAGCCTATAGAAATAAGATAAAGAGAAGAAGGATTTTAATAGCTTTATAGGGATAGCAGTTTTAATAATATTTATCTTATTAATAGGCTGGATAGTAGATTTAGGAGTATATAGAAATATATATAATAATAAGTCCTAGTTTATTAAATATAGAGATTTTATTAGTGAAAAAAAGCAATAATATAAATATAACTATGCTAATAATATCCTAGGTAAAAGCGAAGGCAAAGGTATTATTAGACTAGATCTTAAGCTTAATAGTAGTTATATAAATAGCATCCTTATTTACGCCCTATATATATTAAAATAAAAATATTGTCTGTTCTTTATAATCTGAAATAAAATATTATATAGAATATAGTATAACTCTTAAAATAATAGACTAATAAATATAGATACTAATTAGGTTATTAGATATATATATGAGAATAGAGATATCTTATAGCTTAAGCTTTATAGGTAGATTATTATATTAGCAATATTACTAGAGCTCCTATATAGGAGAATAGAATATACCGGCATTTTAAAGCTTAAAGTTATTATTAAATTAAACCCCGCAGCTGTCTAACTTATTGAGGATATAGACTTTTATTGTAAAGTATATTATATAGTAAAGGTAAAGCAATTAGTATTTAAAGACCTTTAGCCTTGTATATTACAACCAGCAGAATTCTTTTATGTAGATATTTAGCCTATAAAGCTATTAGGAGTCTAGGGATATATTAATTATCTTATTATTATAGACAGTATTATAAGAATATAATTTGTCTATATATTAAAATTAAAAGACAAAGCTTTAAAACATATAATCTCCTTTATTAAAGGGATTAAGAATATCTCGCCAGTAGGCAATTACTTATAATATTAGAGAATTAATAGCGGGAGAGAATTCTTAAATTTTAAGTCTTAGGCTAAAGCTAAAGGATTAAAGGTTAAACTAATACCTTTATAAATCCTAAAGGGTAATAGTACTTCAGAATATTATAAAGAATATCTTAATTTATTAACTTATATAATAATAATAGCTTTAGAATTCTTAGAGAATCTCTAGCTATTTGTAATTAAGATTATAACCTATATTGCAAATAGACTGTTATAAAAAGATAAGACTAAACCTCCTATTATAAAATAGAGGAGATATTTTAATATATTAAATAAAAACTCTTCCTTAAAATATCTATAAGTTTAAGGCTATTAAATATATCTCTATATACCTAAAAAAGACAGGAAGCAAGTATTTAAAATAATACCTCGCGCCTAAATTAGTTACTTAGTCAGATATAAGGGAGATAATAATTATATTTATAAGGTCTAAATCTCTAAAATAGGCGAGATTAAATATTCTAGAGATATTATATTCTTTAAAGATCCCGATAATCTATTAGCTCCTATAACTATAAAAAATCTTATACTAAATAGTTTAGCGCTAACTATTAGTAGAGTAAAAATACTTATTCTAAAATAATATATTAAGAACTAACTATAAATAATTAACCTAATTTATTAAATAATTAAAGATGCTATCTAATAATATATTAGAACTCTATTGCCTATACTCTAGATTAAATAATAGACTAAACAGTAATTATTAAAAATGCAAGAGAATATAGATATTATCTAACTAGCTATAGGTAATCTAAATACTTAAATAAATAAGCTAGTTAACTAAGCTCTACCTAAAGATATCCTAATATCTTTAGATCTATTGTAAGAAGATTTTTATAATATTAATACTGTAAAGTATAAAAATACTAATTATATTAATCTAACTGGCTTATAGCTTGCAGGAGAACTAATAGAGGAGATATTATAATTTATATAAGATAGAAAGCTAGTTACCTAGCTAGGAGATAAGTAAGCTTATAATATTTAAATAGCTTAAGCGAAAAAAGCTATAAAGACTAAAGGGGGTAAATAATATAGTATTTTAGCTTTAGCTTTATAATTTATATAAGCTTATAAAGTTAAAGTCCCCCGCATCTATAAGTAAGCAGTTAAATCCTTATAGGCTGGTGACTAGCAATAAGCTATAGAGAGTTAAATATAGAAGCTTAAAGCTAAGTAAACTTAGTTACTAGTCCTCTATCTAGATAATAAGGATATTAAAATCCTATTGGGGAAATAGATATATAATGTTAAGACTAATGCTAATAGCTTTTTAAAGGAATATAGAGCTAGATAAGTAGTTTATAATAACTTTTAGTAGACTATTAGATATAAATAATACTATAGCCTAGTAGTGAGCGAGATAGCTGTTAAACTATTCTTAACTCTTATTATTATACGCGGGTTATATTAGATTTAATATGATATTATTATGGCTTATTTAAACGCCCTATTAAATAATAAGTAAATCTATATATAATAGCTAATAGGATTTGCTGTAGGGAAATGTTAAGTCTACTTATTCTATTGCGCCTTATATAGACTATAGGAATCTGCTAACTTGTGAAATATAATACTTATAAATAAATTTCATAATATAGGATTTATATTATTAGAAAAAGATCTATATATTCTTATATTAAATGGGGAATAGTATGTTATTATTTATATTAATAATATGCTCGCAGTAGCACTTATAAAGGAGGATATTAATATATTTATAATGATTTTAAGTAGTTATTTTAATATAAAGATCCTTAGCAAACTCTTTAACTTTCTAAGTTATAAGCTTAATAAAGATTAGAAATAGGGAATAATTATTATAAGCTAAGCTAGCTATATACTAGCTATTTTAGCTAATTTTAGCTTCTATAATAGTAAACTAATAAGAATTTAAGTCCTTATAATATTAATATATAGACCAAAAATTTTAGAGGAACTAGCTAATAAGGATATTAAAATTAAATATTAAATCTTTATTAGAAAGTTAAGCTAGTTAGTAATTAAAATATAGCTAGACTTAGCCTAAGCTATAAACTATTTATAATAAAAGGTAAGCAATCTAAATAATAAAGATATTAAAGCAGTAAAATATTTACTATAATATATTTGCTGAGCTCCTGATTATAGCATTAAACTAGAAGCAGATCCTAATATAGGTATTAAAGTTTATATAAATACTAGTTACTAAGATAACCCTAATAGGACCTTAACTGAAGTATTTGTAATCCTATATAAAGGGGTATTTATTAGCTGGTTTAGTAAAAAGCAGTAAATAATAGCTCTGTCGATAATAATTGTTAAATTCTGCGTATTAGATTTTGCGGTAAAAGAAGCTATATTTATGAGAAAACTGGCCTATACTCTAGGTCTTAAATAGGATCTGGAGATCCCTATACCCGTCTGGATTGACGCAGTAAATACCATAATTTTGGTTAAAAATAGGGGTTATAAATTAATTATTAAATGGCTAAATAATTGCTATTTCTTTATTCGATCTGCAGCAGTTAATAATATAATTAAACTATAGAAAATTGACGGCAAAATAAACCCAGCGGACGGCCTGATGAAGCTATTAGACTATATTAAATTTTAGGAGTTTCAGGAGCTTATAAAGTTAAGGAAACTAGACATTTAAAGGGTTTAAATAAATTACCTGATTAGGCAATCAGGCTGTCTGCCAGCGCCATTGAAGGGGGTGTTTCGGTGCCCCTAGGGGCTCCAGTAGTGGTCGCCCGCGCCAGCAGCCAGCTTAGTCAGCAGAGTAGTAGCCAGATAGATCAGTTCAGCTCCCCCCTAGATAGCTTCCTCAATCAAGCATCTTCGTCAGCTCCAAGACGCAATTTCTCCAACTCTTCATCTGTAGGGGCGGGGATCTTGCGCTCGCTAGCACCTTTCTCTTGCTGGACGCGCTCACCCACCCATCGCCCACCCTCTGGTTGAACGAGACCCAAGTCTTGATATGTCAAGTCTTCCACGATCCGCATTTTGGCGACCTTTGCGGCCTTGGCCCGATTCTTGTAGTCGTCCGTGAATGTGTCTGGTAATCGTATTGGATCCGTGTAAAGGCTTTTGTGCTTATTGTTACACTCCCAGGAGCGATGTGGAGCTTTGTGGTGACACATTAGAAAAAATGGTCGACGCGCATCGCGGGCCTGGATCCAATCGAGAGACTTGTCCGTAATAATATCAGTCACGTAGCCATCTTCGATCTTCGATCCAGCCGGTTCAATAAATTCCGGATCCCAGTATTCGCCTTGGCCCGGGAGAACGGACCTATGTCAGACATTCTGTCAGATAACGGTGCCAAAATAGCTAGATATATAGACCCAACATGTAATCATGAATTGGCATACCAATAGTCAAATCCCGATGGCTCATGCATTCTGCCCTCACCTAAGTGCCATTTGCCCACCATGGCGGTTTGATAACCTCCAGTGCGCAAATGCTTTGCAACGTTTGGCATATGCTTGTTGATCTAGATGGACCCAATATCAGTTTCAACTATAGACGATACATCATTCGATAGAATGAAGGTTGATGTAATAGGATCCAAGTATCGGGGTCCACTGACATGATTATCAAGCGTCATAACCCCGTTGACATGATTGTAGGTTCCGGTCAAAATGGACGCACGAGAGGGTGTGCAGATGGAGTTTGTTACATAACAATGGTTAAACTTCATCCCCTCCTTCGCCAGCTTATCAATGTTCGGAGTGTGATTGATTCCAGCACCGTAACAGCTGATGGACTTTGAGGCATGGTCATCGGCCATGATGAAGATAATGTTCGGTCTTGAATCAGCAGCCATTTTAGAGTCTGATGACTTATGAAGAACGGATTTCGAGTATATATTCCCGACAAAGACTTGAAGAGTTGTCCTTAAAGTAAAGATGAGAAAGAGGCCAGGACTAAAGTACACTGGATATGCAGGCTAGCTACCTAATATAAGTATCTAAGGCAATCCCATTCTGCTGGGCGCATATTTCAAGACTATTGCCCCTCAGTATATTCTTTTTGCCGATTCCGGTAATAGGGCGACGGGTCGGGAAAATTATAGTGACACTATCGGATCTCGGTGGGCGTTAGATGTGATTGGTTCTAGTTGTTGTTTCATCTATATCCCTCGGTTGTCGGTCAAACTGTTGTGTGATTGGCTTCCTTTTCAGCACCTAGGTAAGACCGGCGGGGTGGTCGCGCAATCTGAAGACCTCGACGAGAACCCGAACACTGGTGCATACAAACGATACCATTTAGAGTACGATGGCTTGAGCTATTCTCATGTAAGAGCTGATGAAGGTTGTGTGCGTGCAATGTCGGATCCGTAAGGTACACTCTACTTTCCATTACCTGTGCTATATCCGATGTTGACTATGGGTGGCTTCAGGTGCGGTGCAAAGGAGAGCAACCAGCATGTAGCAACTGCAGGCGCCTCAAATTCCCCTGTTCTTTCAAACGGATTGCAACAGAACCTGCCTCTGTGGAGCAGGCCTTTGATGCACCACGCAAATGTCGAGGCTCTCGCGCGTGTGCGGCCTGTCGTTCCCAGAAGACGCGTTGCTCTGGAGAGAGACCGGCTTGTTCGAACTGTGAGCGACGTGGCAGGCCTTGTGTTTACAGAAATGAAGAGGCGCAGAATGCTATAGTCAGCGATATAAATGGATCTTTACCACCGATCCCAGATATGGACGGCTCTTCAGGGCTATTGCACTTGCAAGCAAAAGGGCGTACTCTTGATCCAAGGTGCGGTTCTGCAGACACACTGGCTACTACAGACCGCATGTCTAATCTGATAACAATTTTCTTTGAACGGATTTTTCCACTGCCATCTTATTCTTTCCTTCACCCCGCAACGGTGAAGAAACGCTTCCAGGAAGGGGTATTAGATGAAGCTTTAAAGCTTACGATATGCGCTATCACTAAACTGTATATCTGGGGTCGCTCTTCATCCAGTGACACATGGGCCGATGAAAGTCAAGAGCTTCTATTACAGAACATATCTCGACCATCCGTCTTGCACCTTCAGGCATTACTGCTCCTCGTTCGATATCGTGCAGGAGCGGGAGACTTTTCCAGTGCTTTCTTGCTCGCTGGGCTTGCCGCACGTTCAGCAGTTGGCTTGCGACTCAACTATGATCGCTCCGATCTTGGTCCTATAGCGCAGGAAGTTCGACGGCGAACGTTCTGGTCCCTGTACTTACTGGATGATATATTCAGTGTTGGCTTGGAAGATTTCGAACTATGCCGACCAGAAATTATCCATCTTCAATTACCATCGGACGACATCGACTTCATGAGAGAGCGTTACATCCGGACGGGCTCCTTAGAGTCAGATGGTGATGATGGATCTGACAATATCGGTTTCCGTGGGCTGTTCTTAAGGGTAGCATTCATTCGACGAGCTATTATGAGGTCTGCGTGCCTCTCAAAATTCCCGAGAAGAAACATGGACTGAAACCCTCACAGATTCAATCGTAAGGTCCAATCTGGATCCTTTGACCCCTCTACACTTTCTATGTCGACGGAGCGCTTCTCAAAACAGCTAGGGACCATGGAAGCACAATTGAAATCACTTGATATGTCTACAATGATAGATGTCGCAGACGATAGATGGGACCCTCCTATAGTGATGCTTCGCCTGTCACTACACCAATCCTACTGCGATCTATATCGCATATTCCTGACTGGGTACCCCGAGGCAGCACCGCAGTCTGCCATTGAGCAGATTTCCCTCCCGGACAGGGAAGCGATGCAGGATAAATGCCTGCACCATGCTCACGCTATTTCTCAGACTCTTGTGGATTTCGCAGAAAGTCGTGAAGGAACTCAAATACTGGATTATGATGCAGCAGTCTGTACTTACCATAGCCTACGATTGATGTTATTCTTCGCTTCCACACGACCAGGCTACTCTAGGATTGAAAAGCAGACTGTCATTGAGAGAGCGAAGGCTTGTGTGAACATTACTCTCCAGTTATTCCATTTCCTTGAACCTGTAAAGCCAATGGTATGTTCTACTATCTAGAACAGTCAACAGGCGGAATTTCTGACTTCTCCTAGATCGCGGACCTAGAAAGACTACTCCACTGTACAACCTCTTCAATGCTAGCGGCTTTCTCTCCACCTCCAATCCTGCAAGTCCCGCAAGCAGCAAAGGTAGCTAGGGAGGCATCGACGCGGCAACGATTGTCAATTCACAGTTTGCTACATCAAGCTGATTTTGTCGATGACAGTCCACAAGCGGCTGATTCTGCAGCTGATAACATCCCTCTTGCAATGTCACATGTGTGCAAGAATAATAGGGCCGGCAATACTTCCGATGGCTCGATTGGCCCATCCTATTCTTCAAATCCAAGGAATCCTGAACCACATATGGGACCATCGAGTCTGATTTTTAATGCATGGATGGGGTTCCCTAGCGTAGAAGAAAGGGCTGGGCAGTTGGAGGGGTTTGCAGAGGATTTCTGAAGAGAAGGGTGTTTGGAGGTGGTGTGTCTTGCATAGCTAACTAAGACATCCAGCGTCCGTAATGGCTAAGAATCTAGGTAGTGCAATACATAGTTCGTTAAAGCTTGAAGCTAACTTGGCGATTTCCCACATCTACGTCACTGTCCTATCTACCTGTCATGTGATCGGAATGTCGCGTTGTTTCGAGAGTCCCCGAACGTCCGAAGGGATTCAAAGGGATAGTTCATCTCATCAAGATCACTTATTCGAAATTGTATTCTATTTCTCTTTCCACATAGGCTAAGTAACCCGAGATAATTCATCTTTGTCCCGAGGGATTCTTTCTTTGGAAGCTTTCTGCAGGCGATATGATCTAGCCTGGGAGATGTCTCCCCGCCCGGCTTTATTTACTGCGACGCGCTTACAGACGGCGACCTACCTGCTCGCTGTCTGTCTGTTCTCCATCGCATTTCTTGTTTTCGTTAATGCATCGATTTCATTTGTCGTTACTGATCTAATTGGCCGTCACCATGGAGTAGGAGATGCTGTTGGCACGCTGGGGTTCGCAGATGAGCTGCTGGCGCTGGTAGCCTGCCCCGCGTGGGGGATGTTGTCGGATCGCATCGGAGTTCGCTGGGTAAGTTCAATTATCTTATATTTTGATCTTTCTCAGCCCAATTGCTCATCTATGTCGTGGCTAGGTCTGTACAACGGGTTATGCAATCGTGGCCTTGTCCCTGTTTGTTTTCGTCCAGGCGAAAAATGTCTACCCGCAGTTGCTCCTGGGTAGATTGCTTTTCAGTGTCGGAGGTGCTGCAGTAGCTACAATGGTGACGGCGACATTACCGTCTGTATCAGGAGGATCGGCCACTTGGAGTGCAGGAAGACAACCCACGGGTCCAGGATGCAGGACCTCGATGTCATCGGAACTGACCGTTACCCCCGTGCGGTACGTACGCAGTACGTCGCGGGACGGAGAAGTCAGAATCGAAGGGAAACCATCCTCCTCAAGGCTCGCAGGATTCGTTGGAATGTTCACTGGATGTGGTGCGCTGGTCGCTCTGATGCTCTTCCTTCCCCTCCCGGCTCGATTCGAAAAGATGGGCTTGTCTCCGCCCGAGGCCATTCAGCGCAGTTACTACGTCGTCGGATCGATAGCACTTCTAGTTTCCCTGGTCTGTTTTATAGGCCTTCGAAACCTACATGGTGACGAAGGTAAAGGGTGGAGATCTCTTGGTTGGACATACGGGCCCTATTCAGAGGACGGTGTGCAGGATGGGGAACGGTCTTCGGCCGTCCATACTCGACCACTATCGTACTTCAACCAGCTCAGTAGTGCATTTATCTTAGGATTTAGGCACACCAACATCACCCTGGGTTACTTGGGGGGATTTGTCGCTCGCGCTTCCTCCGTGGGGATCTCACTTTTTGTCCCACTCTTCGTTAATCACTATTATAGGGAGTCGGGACTTTGTCGTGAAGACCCGTCCGTGTTGTCCGAACCAGATATGGGAGATATCAAGAAATCCTGCCCGAAAGCATATATTCTTGCTTCCATCCTGACCGGCGTTTCACAGCTGATCGCTTTAATATGCGCACCGGCATTTGGCTTTCTATCTGAAAAGTCACGCAATTACAACCTACCGCTTCTGTTCGCTGCATGTGCTGGTGTCATCGGCTACGTTGCTTTCGCACTCTTGCCGAGTCCGCGTTATGACGGCCCACAGGGGAACTTGGCAGTTTTCCTGGTCATGGCGTTGATCGGTATCAGCCAAATAGGTGCAATCGTCTGCAGTCTGGGTGTGCTCAGCAACGGTGTGCTACATATTGATTCTCGGCAAGCGTTTCAAGACCGGTCGGGATCGGAAGCAGAACGAGCGCCGGGAAACGGCAGCACCTCCAGCGGACCAGAGCGTGTTCCGAATGAAGAGGAGCCCCTCCTCGGCAAGCCGTCTGAGCGCCAATTTAAAGATCTTCAGCATCTCAAAGGGTCGATTGCCGGTATGTATTCTCTTTACGGCGGTGCTGGCATCCTTATCCTTACAAAACTGGGTGGCTTGCTCTTTGACGTCCTCTCACCTGGTGCTCCTTTCTATATCCTCGCCGCTTTCAACGGGTTTCTCCTAGTAGCCGGTATGGTATGTGGCTTAGCCACAGTTCGATCATCTAGCCTCAAACCCCAGGCATAAGCGCTGAAATTGTTCTATTTGCTTGTTCCTGCTAATGAATGCTCACGAGATGTAATGCATTGCATACTTTGTTTTGAAACCACTAGGTGATCCGGATGAATATTGCGTGTCAGGTGGCGTATATGCCGCTCAAACTCTTAACTGAAAATCTCTTCTCGTATTGTTATTAAGCAAAATATGTTCTTCTCCCCCACTAAGTAATGGGCCTTGTACCGACTTTATACTTCAAACTATCCAACGCTGGGTACGTCTTCTCAGATGTGGACAGCTTTGTAAAGCCTAAACTAAGACGGACGTTCTTGTAGACTCACAAGAAAAGTTCATACTCAAAGCTCTAGTGTAAGAACCTAACTTAATTCTTAGCTCTCTCATTCGCGGACTGCTCCAGTCCTACAGCAACAGATCCGCTGTCATATTTCAGAAACTCGACAGTGGGGAACGACGGAAACCCTTCACGTTCCTATCGGATCAAGACGGGAAAAGATAAAAAAGAAAAGGACCCAAACAATTTCAGCCTAAAAAAAAAAGTCTCCGCGCTTGACTCATTGCTTAGTTATCAGCTATTCTATCTGGAGAGAAAAACAAAGAAAGCACGTGCCCTGTACAGCGCAGAAAACCTCGTGAGCTTTAGATTTATAGATTCCACACAGAAGAGAAAACCGGCCGAGAGGAGAGAATTACCATCCTTGCGTGAGTTGCCATCACTTAATTTTTTTCACCATGTCTCTCGCGTTCAAGGACAAGGTCGTTCTCGTCACTGGTAAGTTTTGTTCGATTCCCCGCGCGGGGCATCAACAGTGCTGATCAATTATATAGGAGGTACCAAGGGTATTGGACGGAGCATCGTTGAAGCATTGTATGATAAACCTTTGCTATTATTCACGAGAAATGAGAACCACTAGCTAACAACCTCTACTAGCATTGCTGAAGGTGCCCGGGTATACTTTTGCTCTCGGACTGCCGCGGATGTGGATGCTGCCGTAGCCGCGCTTTCACCTCCTACGTCCACTCGACCGGGCACTGTGGTCGGCGCCACTGTCGATGCATCCAAGTCAGAGCAAGTCCGCTCCTGGGTGCAGTCTGCTATCTCTGCTGAGGGGAGAATCGATGTTGTGATCTCCAACGTCTCGAGTCTCTCCATGGGGGATGATGCCGAATCATGGACAGCCGCCTTCTCGACGGATCTTCTCGGTACCGTCACGCTGGTGAACACTGCTCTGCCAGCTTTGGAGAAGACCAAAGGAAACATCATTGCTCTCTCTTCCGTTTCTGGCCGTGAAATCGACTTCAGCGCCCCTGGGCCATATGGTGCTGTCAAGGCCGCATTGACGCATTATATCGCACAGCAGGCGCATGTCTTGGCGCCGAAGGGAATCAGGGCAAACACTGTCAGTCCTGGTAATATCTATGTCGAGGGCGGTATCTGGGGAAACATCAAAAGGGATAACCCAGTGCTGTTCGCGGAGCAGCTTAAGGCAAATCCTATGGGTAGACTGGGAACGCCAGAGGAGGTGGCTAATGCGGTGCTGTTCCTTGCCAGTGACAAGGCTTCGTTCATTAGTGGAACGAACATGCTGGTTGATGGAGCATTGTGTACTGGTGTTCAACAGTAGTTAGCGTGATTGGGAAATGGGATTCTCGGCCATTTGGTGTTCTATAGACCTCGGGTTTCTCTTACTCAAAACCCCTTGATTTGCCACAATCTTGATTGCTTTCTGGGAATCAATAATAATATCTTTACAATCTTGCTCGCGAGCTGAAGACCAATAATAGTATCTCATCCTCGGCGCAACCGAATCAGGCAAATCAAGGAACATGCCGCCCATCGGCGAGTCGGCGGTTACCGAAAAGGGGTTTGACATCCCAGGAACATGGGCGCTATTTAGCGAGTTCTCCAGCGCTTTAAGCCTCCATTCCACTGGTCGGTTACTTGTTTGGGGGCTTTTACCGCCCCCCCAGATTGTTCGGCGCATCTGGTTCAGGACGCCACTACCATTCGGTTGGATTACCTTCAAGATTATTTTTACTTCAAAAGTTCTACTAGCCCGCCAGGAGCCGTTGTGACACTTGTTAAGCCTCTATGGTTTCCTTTTAGCGTCGTACAGAACCTGGCGTGGCGGTCTGGGCTTGTCTGGGGCCTGGGCAAACAAAGGATTCAACATAGGCTCATCAAACTAGGTTTATGCTTATGCTTTGTAAAAGTAACACATTATTAAAAGCCACCGGGACCCGTCGAGTCTTGACCTTGGGTGTTAAGAATCGGTATTGTTTTTTTGGGGAAGTCCTACACTACTTTCTCTCGATCAAACGACATTCGTTATCCAACTACATTCACTCTTTACGAATACTATTTACCGCTTGCCACCGCATAATTTCTAACCTACCGGCTGTCTCTCGTTGAACATCATGCTTGTCCCAGCTGCTCTTTCTCTGGCCCTTGTTGCTGGCGTTTCTGCGCAAAGCACTGTGACCCTCTTCCTGCCTGGCTTCGACACGCAGTCTATGGTGGCGAGTGTCGTCGGTTCGGTATGTCTATTCTCTTGAAATCGACCCAACCAACCCTGTGACATGAAACTTGACTAACATTTCCTACCTAGGATGCCACCGCTACTACGTATGCCCTGGGATGTGCTCCCGATGTCGACAGCGAAGACTGCGGTGTGCCGCCTGGTTTCACTATCGTTCAGGGCGCGTCTACGATGGACTATGTCATGTCTATTCCTAGCGAGTGCGTTTCATCCCTTTCTTATACATCGTTTATCGACACATCTTGCAGTGATTGAGGGAAAACACTGACCGAAGACTTGCAGATATGTCTCTATGGGCTGTAAGCTAGAGGGCGACGTTGCTGACTGCAGCGAGACTTTTTCCCCAAGCCCGGCTTATAGCTACCCGAACCCGGCCGAGACCACCGTCAGTGGTATTTCGTCTTACTACCAGGCCGTTGTTGTTACTACTGGCGCTGTTGCCGGTGCTGCTGCCACCACGGGGGCTACTCCCGCTGCGAACACTGCTTCTGCTACTGGTGCTGCTGCATCTGCATCTGCATCCGCATCCTCTGGTTTCTCCACTGCTACCAGCTCGAAAACATCTTCAACTTCTTCTGCTTCAGGAACTACTAAGCATGCCAGCTCATCGACCAGCACCGGTGGTGTGCCTCAGATGACCGGTAACGCCTCCTGGATGATTGGTGGTGCCGCCGTGGCCATTGCTCTGGCTGCTATGTGAGAGATGCTAGGGATTTGTTCTTCATTCCTTGAATGAAGATAGCGTTGATATGGAGCATGAAATTAATTATCTAATACCCATGGTCGGGCGAACCCGTCTGAAAGTTTTTATCCAAGAGACACGGCTGGACTTATCAAGAGCAATAATTGGTTGAATGGACAGCTAGCTAGCTAGATATGTAATATAGGTGCTGGCAATATTATTCCGGCTAATTTACAACTTGGAATCGCTTTGTCCTTTTGGGAGAATCTTGAGATCCTGGAACGGCAGCTCAAGGTGCTGCCACATGTAATGGAACCTGTACTCAGGAGTGTTAGTCTACTGTACCCCAGAAAACTGTACAAAAACTAGGATAACAAGAAGAAGAGAACAACCAACGAAAAATCTACTAACCGATCGCTCCCAAAGAACATCGACTCCTCCCCCTTCTTGTTGATCACCTGGAACCAAGGCGCTCCAAAGGCCCCATGATCCAAAGCCTCTTGCGTCTTTGCAAGAAGAGCGTCTTTCCACTTCTTCTCGCTCGTAGCAGCCAGGATCGTTTCCGTTTCAGATGGCGTGAATTTCGCATCGTCTGTGAGAAGACGGGCGAGAACCTCTGATTGCGAGATGTCCTGATGTTGGTAGAAGAGATAGTCCCATAGAAGAAGGAGAGTCTTTTCGTACTTCTCCGCTGAGTAGCTAGCTTTGATATATGTTATGGCTCGTTGGGGCTGCGGGAGAGAAGGTTAATTGTTAGTTGACTTTCCTTGCTCTTATGGGTTTCTTATTTGTCCAGAAGGTAGGAAGGGCTAGAAGCAGTCCAATTCTAGCAACGTACCAGCAGAGATAGGATGGGAAAGAAGCTCGGCGCTTCGAAATCGGGCAGCCCAAAGTACTTCGTGGCTTGTTGGCGCTCATAGACACCATATCTGGCCTTAGCTGGAAGCTTCCATGGAGGCTTGTTTCCTATGTAGATTCTGTCAGACTTAAGTAGGAATGCGTGTTTGACTTTAGCAAGTAAGAGTGCCGCCACGTACCTGAACCTTGCATGACACCGCCTAAGAAGATAGGATGTAGTCTAGAAACAGAATAAGCGATATCAGCATAATGAACATACTACAATACTGCAGAGAATCCATCGCGGACCGATAACGCTGCATGGATCTCTCAGTTCTTGGGGTACTTAAGGGTCGATGAGATAAACGCACTCTATCTTAACGTCGTGACTGGCCAGGACATCTCGATTTCGCAGAAGATGCACTACTGCAACAAAAGAATACGGAGACACTGTATGGAATCAGATCAGCTGCACGAATGGGATTTCCTCTAGGGACACTGATCAATCCTATCAATGGGCGCTCGCTTACCGCAGTCAACGTAACAATTGATGACCGCGGTCATGATGTGTCCAACACAGTGAAATCTCGAAATAGATATCGCTGTACGAATTTCAACACCTGATCAGTAAACGCTTTCGATTCAAACAGCTGCTAAATAGATAATGATGGTCATCTCTCTCATGTGAAGTTGGTTCGACCGCGATTAAGCGCATTTTCCCCCACGGGCGGAACGCGGAGAAGATGCCGAGGTTCTTTTCAGAAATTATTAAGTATGGTGATCACTGATCACTTTGATTATCAGAAAATGGTTTCGCCGATTCCGAGGCACGCCGGATCTGAAATCTAACCGATTAGGGCTTTATTATGAGGTGGATGAGCAATAATTTATCTTTACTTGTATAACTTCCTAGTTGCCCGAGATCAACTTTAAAGGAGCGATGTTTGCTGGCCCAGTAGCGTTACGTGACGACTGCCAATAAACGCGTCGCTCTTGTTATTCGAGCATCTCGTAGAATTGGAAGGCAAATTGCTATTGATCTACCAAATCCGGTGTTGCAAATCGCTGCTGGTTATAAAATTCTTAGTAAGTTCATATCCTGCTCATGTATTGTCTTTACTAGATCAGAAAGACTAGACTTCACTAGATGACAAGAGCTTGTTCTACACTGAACCACACTGCTGGATCAAGGATGACAGCAAATTCTGTCGTCAAACTGTGCTTCAGCCGAAAATAGAAAATGAGAACAACTTCTATTAATGAATTATGTCTATCGATATCGCAGTCTGAATCCCACGAAAATTATGTACCTTTGGCCACTTTCTCGCAGTTTAACGATCCACAAACACTTAATCAACTCTATTCTTCTGAAGAGCAGACACCATGGACTCTTTCGACTGTTCAGAATCCCATCGTACTCGGGGTATCTCAAAAGTAGATGCGAGAGTAGCGAAAGCCAACCCCCCAAGCTGTCCAACGGGTCTCAGTTTGTTGATATCAATGTGAGTAGCATCGTCATTGACTGCATCTTCATGGATCCAGTAGTTCGCAGCCTTGATCAGAGCAAGAGACATAACGCTCATTTCTGGGTTACCCGGGTCCGTGAATTGCTTGATATCGACCACTTTGCCCTCGATTGAGAAAACAGACTCCTTGACCCGCGATGGCTTCACTTTCCTGCTTGGCGCTTCGTGAAAACCAGAGATATCCCACTCGGAGATATCATATGGGGCATCGATAGACATAGCACTGGCAGCCTCGGCCATGTGCTCAGACACCGTGTTGATGACGCATTCCCCGGTCTCCTTCAGACCATAGTATGTGTCCTTGGCTCGACCGGGTCGGGCAGCGAGACCGAGAATAAACATAGGAGGATCATGCGCAATAACTTGGAAGTAACTGAATGTGGACAGGTTCTTCTTGCCATCAGCACTGATGGTGCTGATCACGCCAATTGATCGCGGTACGATTCCAGAAGTCAACAGACGATAGTTGGCGATCCAGTGACGGTCCTCTGCATACGGGTCGATTTCACGGTGTTTCTTTTCCAAGCTGGCGCCACCATCACTTGTGCCTTGGCCATATTGCCAGTGCGGGTCCGGAGATTTGGTCACCTCAATGGATTTTCCATGGCCACGGTAGTCTGGGCGGTCTAGTTCTAGGTCTTTGAAATTGTCCCTCACGGCCATATGTGCTAACCCATACTTCTTGATTGGATCTGTAACTGGAGCATGAACCATGATGGTTTTGGAGATCGTCTAACGGGAGTGACGGTAGAAACTAATCTGGTCAATCTGTCAGCGGCAGGTCTCAATTGAAATGAGATTTTTGTATCCGACAATCTTCTGCGGAAGTAAAGGAATATGCACTTACCGAAGGAACTCAGAGACTCTATCAAGAGGGAAACGAACGCTTACAAAAGAAGGCAATGACTGAACATTATAGCAGCGGTAAGAAGGGCCTACTTATACACTTCAGCGAGCATAGACAGCTAAAGACTTGTGCTACTATCTCATTGATCAGCTATCTATACGCTGAATAATTATCGTGCCCGGGCATAGTGAGATGCTCATAGATCCCACCGGTATTATCTTATTGAAGTCACAACTTGCGGAATGGGGAACAAGCGACGCCGTCCGGAACATTAGGGTGTTTTACTCAGCGTATGCTTTGTTGTTCCTGAACTAAACTGACATGGGAGAAGCTTACTAAAAGCACGCCCTAGTTAACTACGACATCCATAGTATGATAGCAGTGATGATCCGGACGGGGTAAATTGCACGTTCCGGGTGGGATTAGATGAATATGATCTCTTCTTGGAATCCATTATCGCAAAACGGATTAATAATGATATCTTACTCGCCGTGCATGAGAAACTAGGATGGTAGGACATCTGATGCCCTTGAACGGTCCGTAGAATGTGGATTTTCTACGGAGCTTGATACATCTAAGCTTTCAATATGGCATGGTCCATCTGCAAAAGGCTATGACGTATATTTCTGATTCTCGCAGAGACAAATAACCATGTCCTTGATCCACGAGGGATGATACATCTGGTTTTAGGCCCGCTTCAGCAGCTTGATGCCCGTTCTTACAAAGCCAGGTTAGTAGATCCGGGTGGAGACGATGGCATCTAGGTCGATCGACTGCAAGTAGCAGCACAGATCGCCGCTTATCTCTCTGGCTCCGTTTCTATTTCTGTAACATAGCTAGTTAGACTAGCTGAGCTATGTATCGAAATAGGACTCTCTTATATGCATCGGAAGTAGTCTTGGCAGATGCTACCGCGACTATATTGCTGTTAGTACATATAGTTGCGGCGTTTGGGGATGGCTATCCAAGCTTCTCCGCCCACAAACCTAACATGCTATCATTACCAGACAATTGACATCAAGCAAGAGTAAGACATACTCCATCAACGAGTTTGTTGCAACCAGGTTACTTTTGGTGGCGGAAGGCGAACCTGACGCCGTGCAAACGTCATTCATTCATCGCTGGCACGTGATAAGATGAGAAGCCGGATATTGTACACTCCCAGCTGTCGTATTTAGCAGCTCTATGATGCCCTGGGATTCAATTCTTGGTTTTGATGATATTTGATCTTTGAAAGGATATACCACTAGAGAACCACGCTCCGGATTGATAGCCATTCGTCATGGCGCTCGTGATCCAGGCCGCCACTTTCTTGCACCAGTATGCCAATGCCACGCTGCATACGACCCCTAGCAAGAACCCCAGTGCATTGAGATTGGGTGTTCTTTCCTCTGCGCAGATTAACCCTGCTGCTGGTTCGTACTCTTGAGTTCAATCGATTGTCGATAATTGTATGGAAGTTAACAGTCTGACAGCAATCCATCCCGCTGAGACCCACCCGGACGTCATATTGTATGCGATTGCTTCGCGCGATGCCTCAACGGCCAAGAAGGCAGCGAAGCAGTACCACTTCTCAAAGGCATACGGATCATACCAGGAGTTGCTCGATGATCCGCAGGTAGACATTGTCTACGTCTCGACTCCCAATGGATTGCACTATGAGTGGTCATCCAAGGCGCTGAAGGCCGGAAAGCATGTTCTTTGCGAGAAGCCCTTCACGTCGAATGCTGCAGAAGCCAGGAAGCTCGCTCAGGAGGCGAAGGAGAGAGGATTGATTGTGGAGGAAGCTGTAAGTTATTAGTTATTCCCGCATACTGCATTCGTTGGGCGACACCTTGCCTCCGCGGACCCTGCTAACTGGCCAATTTGTAGTTCCACTGGCAATTCCACCCAGCTGCTCACACATTCCGCCAAATCCTTGAATCTGGACAGTATGGCAAGATTCTGCGTACAGATGCTGTCATGACAGCCAGTCCTGGTGTCCCTGATGGCGATATTCGCTGGCAGTTCGACCTTGCAGGCGGTTCTGCCATGGATATGACATATGCCCTGTCGTTCACCCGTTACGCGCTTCATGCGAAGAATCCGAAGCAGATCCTCTCTGCGGTTGCACGTCCATATAAGCTCGACTCGCGCGTCGATGAAGCCATGCACGCACTGCTCGTGTTCGAGGGACAGGAAGGTCAAGACGTCCAGAGCCGTGTCTACACAGATATGGCCCGCTCTTGGGTTGGATGCGTTGTACCTCGAGTCTGGGAACTGCCTTCAATCGAAGTGGAAACAGAAAAGGCAATTATCTATTTCTACAACGCGATGATGCCGCATCTCTATCACTACATTGCCGTCACGGACAAGGCAACCGGGAAGACTCGTTACCACAAGCAGTACAAAGGTGGACCTCTTTGGGGCAGCATCGAAACCTCTAGTGGAAAGGGTGGCAAGTCCTACTGGAGTACTTACCGCTGGCAGCTGGAGGCGTTTGTCGATGCCGTTAAGGGCAGGACACCTGCATACTGGGTAACTCCGGAGGATAGCATTGCACAGATGGAGACCATTGATGCTATCTACCAGGCTGCAAACCTGCCTGTGAGGCCGTCGAATGTGTTGGAGAAGTCAGCTTAAATGGGATAGAACACGTCCGGCATTCCACCTGTATACTAGTATCTTGACGCATCTAACGATCCTGTCTAATGTCTCATTAATGAATTTGCATACTTAAATGGACAATGGTATCTTGGCATCAAATATAGCTAGCAGTGTTTCACTGTCCACAAAGCTCGTTCCGAGTGCTTATTACCTATCCATCACTCAAATCCTCTCAAAAACAGCCCTAACCCCCTTAAACCCCTTTTTCACAGCCGGTATAAACATATCGCCCACGACCTCAACATCCTCACTACTAGTCTCATAGAGAACTAACCGCTTCTCATCCTCTTCCCGTTGCGCAAAGGTCCGAAATATTCCTCCCAGAGCCATATACAACTCCGCATACGCGAGATTAATACCCAGACATTGTCTACTCCCCTTCGAAAACGCAACTAGATACCGATCAAGCCTAGGGTTTTCAAGCCATCGTTCTGGTCGGAACTTTTCTGGTTCTGGGAATATATTTCCATCTCGATGGATTAGGACAGATGACATCGCGACAGAAGTTCCTGGTGGGATGTCGTATCCGGCAATCTTGAGGACTTGATCTGGCGCGACGCGCGCTAAGCGAGATGTTACTCCGTATGAAAGTCGGAGACACTCCTGGATGCATGCTGTGAGGTATGGGAGACGTTCTAGGTCTGAGAGTTTGGGTGAGTCCTTCTGGTTATGATTATCATCATGATTATTATCCGGGTTCAATTTCACTGATCGGAGCTCATCCTCGAGCCGTTGGCGGATAGATGGGTTTTCGAGGATATGGAACATCGCAACGGTGAGGGCCCACGAAGTTGTCTCCGTGCCGGCTCCCACGATCACTTGGCCTTCTTGCGCGAGACGATCAAGGCGTTTTTCAGACTCCGGAAGGTTGCTGCTGAGAATGTCGTGGAAGATGGTCTTGTGCGAAACAGTCTCGTGGCTCTTGTCGGTGCCGTTTTGGATGTCTTGGATTTGGTGGGCGATGCTCTGTTGACGTTATTGTCAATAGAGTAGTCCTGAAGACGTATGGTGTCAGAAAGTGGAGACTTACCGTTTGAAAGGAAACTATCTTTCCCATGCTTTCAAGAATGGTCAATTAGAATGCAGTTCAGGGCGTGTATATATCTAAAAAAAAAAAAAAAAAAGAAACAACAACTTACCCTTCATCCAGCCTTTTAGCTAACCAGAGTGGAATCGAGTGACCAAGCTTCAAGATCCAATTCATATATTTTGTCCAATGGCAAAGAACGCTAAAAGAAAGCATCATCTCATGAAACAAAGCGTCGAAATCAGGATGTTCGAGACGATTGTCACATCTGGCAAACGCATACTCCATCACGACATCTGGGTTTTCACCCAATTTCAAAATATAATCAGTGAAATTCACTTTCCCCTTTCCTTTTCCGTATTGAACACCTAATCGTAAGAGAAATTATCAACTCACCATTCGTAAAAGCAGCAAACATCGCATTAAGCGGAATTAACTTTCCCGACTCCCTAAACTCCCACAATTTATCCAGCATCAAATCTACCTTTTCCTGAACGACACTCTCAAGACGATACACGCCTGCTTTGGAAAAGAACGGATTCAACGCTGCGCGCCGCATACGATGAACATGATGCTCAACAGTCCCGATAGCAGCGTCCGGTGTGCCGAATTGTTTGCTATATATGATGGTTTTGTTGCGTTTTTGTTGCTGCGAGTAGAGAATAGAGTAGAAGTCTGGATCCGAGACATGGAGTTCTTCTGGGTTGATTCGGATTATGGGGCCCTGGATATATTCGTTATTTCTTTATTAGTTTGCTGTTATATAGGTCTCGGTGAAGACATAATAATAATGTAAACTCTTCCAACACGTAAACAAAAGAGAAAACACACATAGCGTAGATGCATCTTCTCAATTTCCCAGACATATTGCCCTCCTCGAATCGCATCGTGATAGAATTCGTATCTTCATTAACCAGTTCAGTTAGTCGTGATCTTATTTCAATTGATGCCTCTCACCTACAACCAAGTCACGGCTGCAATCTTAGGGCCAGGAAACCTAGATAGCGGACTTAGATAAAGACGGTAGATGATCACCACAAAAGCATATGTGCCTAGGAAGAGGAAAAGCAGGAATGCGATATTGTCGATGTTGTAGACTTCGGGACGCTCCATTTTCAGGATTATAGTTTTTTAAGGGCTTTTCAGGCTACGCAGCATGCTTTTAATGCGCCTGGTGGTCTATGATTAGGGAAATCGTTTCTTAAATGACTTACGCACCAGTGAACGCTCATCCAGATAGTGCTTACTTCCTGTCATGTCGTGTTAGCGAGCTAGAATCTCACCAACATTGACTAGCGTGGCTAAGATTGACTACTTATCTGGGTGCAAAAGATAGCTTGGGTATCGGGCCGATTACAATAGCTTAAAGTAAAGCGCAATCAATTATGAAGCTTTGAGGACACCATTGAATAAATTATGGGTTTAGCAAGTAGAATAGGCCGTTTCAAGCATATAACGAAATTTGCTACTCTACGCCGTCCTATGCGCAGTTGCCCCAAGCCATGCCACATAGATTCATAACAGCTAGCGATTAATACCGGATTCAATCCCAGTTCGCCGCACCACGTCCGATCTTGGTTCCAGCAAACTCTTTTGTCGCCGCTCTCTCCCCAAGACCTGCTTTCTTCTCTGAAGGCGGTGGTCTCACCTCCAGACCTGACTGTAGGATGTTGGCCCTGACTAACCGAATATGCGCTTCATTCGTATAGTTACGGGCGCTCTCCAACGCAGACGCATGAACTTCTGCTCTAAGATCGCTTTGTTTTGAGACAAGGACCATTTTCTCTAGATCCACACGGGCGTCCAATAGCCCATCTTGGATCATCAGGATAAGCTCCTGCACGAATGGCGAGTTCGAGTCGAGGGGCTTCGGGTGTCCGCCGACAACTTTGGGTGCAAAGATCTTTGCCATGGCATCAAGTGTGACCCGGCTAAAAGGCAAAATGTACTGCTGGATAGACTTCGTGCGAATCTGCCCGAAGAGAATGGGAACATGGCGTTGGAGATGGAGGTCGAGGAGATAATCTGTGCGATAGGCCTCAAGAATGTCAAGGCAAGATCGGAACTTGTTATTGCAGAAGAAGGAAATCGCGCGACGGATATGAGGCTCGAGCTCCAGGAAGTTCCGGAAGGAAGAGTTATCAAGGACGCGGCGTTGCAGTTCGTTGCGATCCATCGATGCAAGTGCGCAAAGTCCACCGTACACGGCAACATCGTTGGAAGTGATGATCTCATTATAGCTATCTCCTAGGCTGGGGTCTGTGGCGAGAAAGCTATTGGCAGCCTCGAGATAGGATCCCGCAGCGAGTTGGGCAAGGCCCATGGCAGCGCACATTTTGGGTTGGTTCTTTGCCTGTTCCTCTGGTTTCGACTGCAGGTTGCGGAGCCGGTGCACGTTTGATTGGACTGCAAGCCAATCGCCGCGGTCGACGGATACATTGATGATCTTGAATAGCATGGAGGCTATGTGATTCGGGGTTGTACAGTAGTCTCGCATTCGGGAGTAAGCTTTGCTGGCAGACGCCAGATCTCCGATCTGATGATAGTGCGCTCCTAGGTCCTCATTTCCCATCTGCAACCGTTAGAATAGAATGCTCCCTCCCGCGCAGGGATCACACTCGGCTGGGAAGATCTCCAGTACATACCCGTATGCTCTCCTTGATCAGATTGTTTTTATACCCTTTCAATTCATGCTCTAGTCGATCCGTCTCCGCCTTGACCAGCTTCTGGGTTCGGTCGACCCACTCGGTATCTAGAACAGCTTCGCTTTCGTTTGGCGCAACCTCCGCCAGTGCACGCACTGCTCTCTCGTAGCGACTAACATCCTTGCCAGATTTTGCGTCCGTGACAGCAGCCTTGAGCGCTTCGGTCGAGAGGTATGTGGAACAAGTCCCGATGAGGAACAGCCGGTCAAACTTCGTCCTCCCTGAAAAATTTCGGTTAATATGGGCCTCCAGAAGTAGATATCAGACAGAGGACATGATCCATACCAGTATAGTTTGTGATATAGGATTCCAGATCGAACTTTGGCGGTTCTACAACAGACGATCCTTGTCAGCAAGTCATCTTCGCACGTCAATACGTCCACCTGAAGCCTTGGACCCTTTTCAAGAACCACAGGTTCTTCGAGAGCAATCCATACCATCAACTTTGATCCGTCCCTGGGCGTTCCCCTCGCCGATATTCCTGGTCCCATAGCTAATCCCCGGTTGCGATGCGTCAAACGCATCAGGCAACACGTGATCCATCACTGATAGCTTTCCGGAGCTCTGGTTTCCACGAGCTCTGTTTCTCTCGATTCCTTTGACTATCCTCACTGTCGCGGCTGCTTCTCCAACTGTATAGAACTCTACGCTGCCGTCTGTGTAACGCAGCACGACTTCGACCAAGCGGGGCAAGGTCCGGACGCAGTCCCGGCGGGATCGCCTGCTCGTGAGCTAATAACTATTCAGATACAGCTGCTGGAATACCAATATATAAGCACCGTATAGTTATTAATGTGGCAAGAAAGCACCTGACGTACTTTTATCCGCGATCACTCTGTGGTCTCTCACGGCGAACCAGCTGCCCGAGTCACCGGAGAACCGTAGGTGTAGCTAGTATCGATAACGCCAACCAGCAGTGCCAAGGAGCTTGATAAACTCTCCCTGGTTTTTGCAGAGTAAGGAGCAATTTGGGGAGGAATATGCAGAAATGTGAAAGGGTTTGTTGATTGTATGCGGGGGAATCAATGTCATGTCAACTTGGGGATGGTCGGCCTCTCCACCAGGATAAGATAACTTCGGCCAGTAAATTTACCGCCTTTCGCACCGCCTTCCTACTATGGTCGTAGCATCTCGAGGTACTCTGGGTACAGTACAATGATGACAGGCGAATGAAGAGAAATCCAGCAAGATTTTCTATTAGGATATCATATTCAATGGAAAGGGATACTGGCCTCATGATAATGATCAGTTCGACTTTATCGACAAATTACTAGATTTATCGAGTATATGTGTGTATTGTAGGTAAGTATATATTTACAACACATCTAGGGACTCCAAATCATCAAGCCAAAAAACAAACCATACCCCAAACCACATTTCCCATCCCCCCTTCTTTTCTATAAATACTTGAACCTCGGCAATACAACGAAGCCCAATAACAACGAACTTTCTAGACGCTCTTACACGGGTATAGAGCTTCACTAGGTACCTACCTACCTAGTCACAGCCAGGGACCTCAGCCGCTGTCTGTAACCAGGAACGACAGAGTGGGGGAGAGATAAAGGGATCAGCAGCCTGGGGTGCAGTTTCATTTTGACATACATACATAGGTAGGACCGAGAATCGAAAAATGCAGCCTACTTGACATGTCAACAGGAGAAGGATATGCAAGGGAAGCTGTGGTTGGTTAGGATACTGAATCGGGCTTTGTGCAGATTGGACCTTGGAATTTTGGGTCCTGGATCCCTGGAAGGCGGAGTGAGAGATGGATGAGGATCGTCGGGTTTTCTAGTCTATTGATTGTGTAAGTACTGTTATCGCCCCTGAGAATGGGTTGTTCGCGTTAATGTTGATTTGGGTATTTTCAGGTGAGAAAAATACCTAGGTTTCGAGAAGTGAGCTAGATAGACGCGATTGTGTGCTGTAGCTGGGCCAGATAGAGCCACCAGCCAGTATACTTACACCTTCTTTGCATGTCTGTAAATACTACCGCTAGGACATGCTTGTATAATGGTAAATGCCCTTCATGGTAGAGACATACATAACTGATCCTAAACATCAGACGCAATATGAAGCTCAACATTATCGTGAAACAGGCCTTTACTAGAGTAGGAAGGAGGTTTCGCATAGCGATTAGACGGGTGTTTACGCCTATCCCGGCAGCAGATCCTGTCATTATATGCAACTGGCCGTTACTGTGTCGAGATCTATCAACTGAAACTAGCGCCCAATCTTCCTAGAAGAGATCCAGAAAGCCATTAGTGTAACCAAGGGTGGATTGGCGCGGCAATTCATCCTATCGTCACCTAGATTCGACGCGGGAAGTCTAGGATGATGCGCAAGACAACAGCTGGGCGCTACCAAGGTCGAAGTTGAAACATGCAGCAGGTCTACCTTGGTTGGAGATATATGATCTACAGGCAAAGCTCAATGCTCCAGCAGTCATGGAAATAACAGAGTCCATCCATCTCAGGAGACGAGGATACATTGGACCCCAAAATAGAGAGCAGTAAGCATGTGCATAGGAGAGAGAGGCTGTGACCGCGCCGAAGTCCTGGGTATAGCTGCGGGCGTTGACAGAAACGGGTATTCTAGACGTTGAGGAATAATCGAAAATCTCCGTCCCCCAACGACTGGGCGCTGCTTTTTGGGATTATGCGAGAACGCGACGGTTCCAATGACCCGAAACCCGGCGACCCGTAAACAGAAACAATGTATCTATCCGCGTGGCGTGCACCAGAGGCCACGGCACCAAAGTGATGGGTTTTCCTCTGTAACAAGAATGGCTAGCAGCTATCAGTATCCAGGGGAAGTATGAGCTGACATACTTGGAGGAAGCCAAAAAGGGCCTCGTGCATCCGTCACCAAAGATCCCCTACATCATGCGTAGAATCTTACATTTTTAGATATCTGGAAGCCCTGATCGAATAAAAGAATACAACCTCGGGACCTTTTTCAGGCTGACACGGTTGGCTAGAGAACGCCTTTCTGGGATTATCATTGGGGACGATAGTGATCTTCCCGTTCAGTGGCGAGTCCAAGAATATGGTTCGCTATGGAAGCCTGCTTCCCGATAATAGAAGAGACCCATTCACGTTCCCGTCTTGAAACCTCCCCAGAAGACTGATGAGCACTATATTGACAAGAGACACTGGTGACTGATCCATTTGAATCACTGTTTATCCCAGACAGCTACTTGCCCACGTTAGGAAGGTGTATATGGAGTGACACTGTATTCAGCTTCTTTGCAAGGTGCGACTGGCCGTTGGGCTTAGACCCCAACCTCAAATACTATCAAATCAAGACTGAGATGGCCAAACCACTCCCGTTCTCAATGAGAGATAAAGAAGTGGAAACGGAGTTCCGTTTCGTTCGCATCTGTTTATCTGAAATGGACATTCATCAGCTAAGAGTTTAGCAGCAGAGCAGTGTCGTTTGGCACAGGAACCATAAGAGTCAGAGAAAGTAAGCCAGACACATTCCAAACTGATCGATAGGCCACTTCGAGCGGAAATCTAGCCAGGACAATCTAACAGAATGCATAGGCTTCAATTGAAATCCCCTGCATCTTCGTGTGTGACACGACGATACAGAATAGAAGAGCGGTGGAAGCTGCAATATCAGACGCAGAAGCAACATGGATTGTGCCTGGAGTCATTCAAAGATAGACGGTGAACAGTCGAATCTTATATCGCCCGCAAATTCGATGACGCAAATGCAAATACCGAGCATAAAGTTAGCAGAAGTCTGTCACCAGCAACCTGCCCATCAATATATATCAGAAGGCCAAAGTGAAGCGACACATCAATCCTTCTGGAAGCCACCTCTACGGAGTCAAGTCGCCCCAGGCAACCATTCTCTTGCGGCGGGAGGGACGAGCAAAGGAGCGCCGATATCACGATGCGGTTCGTGGGCCTCCCATTTGGCAGCTCAAGAATCGCTTGCTCATGGCACATCTCATGTGTCTCAATCGAGTCACTTGATGGACTGTCAACAAGGTCGAACGAAGACTCCTCTGAGCAGCGTTGAAGAGATCCCAGCACAATTGCCATTGACATCCGACTATACGGTAGATCGAGGAATGCCGGTGGAACCGATGGGAACTGCATACAAACAGGATAATGTTTCTCCTTCATCGCCCAGCTACTTCCAAGTAGCGAATGAGGAACATGCGTTCCACGGCCTCCCATGGGCTGAAAATTGCCGTGATAACATATCACAAAGCTCTTGGAGCACAGCAACGCCATCCCCACTACCGATGGACATCTCAAGAGATGATACTCAATTCGTATTTGCACACGAGTATTTCCAAAAGGGGTTATATGATCGACATTGCAAAGAGGAAACCGATAACTTTCCTCTGGGGAGCGACGGCTACGGTGCTCCCTTTCTCGATGCATACCACGGAGCCGTGGCGCTTTGCTATCCAGGGAACTTCGAACAATCATCTCACTTCCCAAACGGTGCCAATATGATCGAGAGGAATGAAGAGATCGACGGTCCCTGCATGAACAAGCAGTATATGTGTACTGAAATCCAAAATTGGACAGCTGTCGTTGAAGATGGCATTGAGTTGCCACGGTTTCCCACGTTATGCGGCGATACATACAGCGATTGCTCGTCCTTCTCATCGGGTGTCTATACACAAGACTCCACGATGACCGCGTCAGATATGGAACTGTCCAACGACGAATCGGTTATTCCACGCCCTCCTCACCATCCACACGTAGAGGGAAATGCCACTGACTTGCCACAACCGTCATCTTCGAACCTCAAAGAAGAAGAACCAAACAGAGAGCAAAGACCCGAAAGCCCCAAGCCTCGTTTACGCCGAAGAGCATGTGTAGGACAGAACTCGGAAAGAAATATCACCAGAGACGCATTCTTGGTCGACTGTAAACGACGAGGGGTGTCATACAGAGACATAAAAAGAATTGGAGGCTTCGAGGAGGCTGAATCGACTCTTCGAGGAAGGTATCGTACACTCACAAAAAGCAAGGAGTTCCGCGTAAGGAAGCCGCAGTGGCAGGAAAAGGATGTGAGTTCGATCCTCAGTATTCAAGAAAGCATGGGAGTAAACGTACTGATTCGTGTTGTGTTTCTCAGGTAAGACTCCTTCAAGAAGCAGTAATGGCCTGTTTAATGTCATCGCCGGGATGGCAGCAGTCAAAACACCAAGGTGCGCAACCGCCGAAGATTTCTTGGAAGAGGGTTGGGGAATATATCTGGACTCATGGTGGGTCGTACCATTTCGGCAACGCGACTTGCAAGAAGAAATGGCATGAAATCGAGGCGATCAGGGGGTGATACATGTTGTGCTAAAATCATGACACGCCTGTGATTGATAATTCCTTTTCCTATTTGTTTCCTTTTTGTGCATACATCGTCAAGGGGACATATAATATAGATTTATTTAGGAGCTTCCACTGTACATTGGTATTGGATAGTCGTTTGCTAGAACTGCCATAGACATCGGCATGCAGAATGGGAAAGATCAATAATGCGATAAAGTTCAAATGCACATAATGTCGTAGCTGTGTCGTGAAGGCAGAGAGGCTCACAGCCGGTCATGAAGAGCGATCTGTACCATCAGACCTGGGGTAAGAAATTTCGGCAAGAACAGCGTTCAAGTTCTCTGGGTTCTTGCGCAGTTCGTTCCATTCAGCCTCAGCCTTGACCATCAGTGTACCCGCAAGGATTGTTCCGTTCAACGACAGAGTACCCGCCTGGTGCACATCAGCCGCGTGCTGCGGGTTGATGGTCAATTGGGCCTTTTCCCTCCGTCGAGGGCAGATAATCATTGTGGATAAGGTCATGGCAAGGTTGTAGCTGACGGCCGCGGGACCCTCCGTTCGTGACGAGTCTTCCGAAGAAGCACCCCGTGCAGCAGTCACCGCTGCTTTATACAACGAAAGATAGATCTCGTGAAGAACATCCGCAGAAGGATTCGACGGGATATCCCTAGCGAAATGTACAAAAGGCAGCTGCGGCAACACGAGCAATCCAGCTCCAGTCTTGGTCACCTTCTCGGTCGCGAAGTGATCCACGAGCGGCCTCCACGCATCAGATTCAGACTCGCGCATCGCCTCGACAGGCAGGAACTGTATATGCCTATGAGGCTGACTAGCCCCACTCTCCTCTCCAGAGTTATAGAAGGCAAACAGCCTCTTAGCAGCATCGAGACCTTGGCCTCGATCTCGAACTCCATCTGTTGTTGTTGTCTCATCCCAACTCTGCAGACACGCATAGGTCGCTTCAATGTCCTCCTTTTCGAGGATATCCGTCTGGGACTTCCAGGCTTTTGTCGCGAGGATGAAGTGGTTCGCGATGACGGGAAATTTGTTCAGAACGAGGGCGTAGCGTGGTTGCTCCTGTGGTACCTCTGCGATGAGAAGGTCGGGCGAGGGGTTCTCGAACGGATCTGGTCTGGGGCCCTTCTTTTCGTCGACTTTGGGAGCTTGGTTCTGCTTCTTTGCTAGTGCAGGACAGTAGCGTAATTGATACTGGAAAGTCCAAAATTAGAAAATTCATTTCTTTCAGCGAAATTGGTCCTCATACTGCACAGGAAGGGGACATTGCTGGGCCATACCGGAATGCCAGATGCATGAAGTGTTGTTAGCTGCGTCTTTGAAAACACAATGTGGTTGGATTCTTTCGCAGCTGTGAATCGTCTGCCCACCAGAGTGGACAGGTTTTCTGGAAGCCCTAACAGCATCTTGGAAAGGTAGCCTGGCGTGGAGGAACGATCTTGGAGCAGTGTCGACTGCAACGGAGAGTGTTGGAGACAATGCGGGGGAGAGCTTGATTTTCCGACGCTCGGCGCGATGACGCGGGGGTTCCAATCTCAGTTCCACCTTGGAACTCGAACAATTCCCAAAGGCAAATCATGCAATACAGTACTCGTCCGTTCACCAGATGAACTACGCTCTTCTACGTTTGAAGCAAGGTCTGTTATAAAATGATGAATGTGAAAAAAAGTTGAGTGCTTGTATTGAATCCACAACGCTTCAATGGTATCCTGATCCAGTCCTTTTCCCATGCCCAAAAGAACCGTAGATATCACAGTGTCCAGACTAAAAGACGGTATGGTGTATATAGTCACAGAAGAGAAGACAACAGAGAAATTCAGAAGAGTCCACGCTAGAACGCTGCACAGGCACATCAAAGAAATTCCAAACCGCCTGAAACAACAGGGTGGTGTCAAATAGCACCCACCGCAAGTCAGGGATATAAAGATATATCAAGTCAAAACCGAAAAGAAGAAAAGCTTTCTAATAAATCAGGTCATCAATGTCCACCTCTTCCACCTGCCCATGGGACAGCTCAGGCAACAGCATGGCTGGCTGTCCCATCAGGCATGTGGAAGGAGGTCCCAGCAAAGGGCCCCTTTCTTCCTCGGTGGCATTCAAGACCCCCTCAGCCCGCTTGAGGGTCTCGACGTCGAGGTCTGTCACATAGGCATCACGGTTGGTACCGTCACCAGCACCGCCAGGAAGACGAAGGCGGACCTCGAATTCGTTGTCCAGCATCATCTCATCCTTCCAGAGGCGGTTCTGGCCGTCGAAGACACAGAGAACACGTTTCTTAGTCTTCATGTCGCTGCTCGGGCAGCCCCATGATGATGGGTAGTTGCGACGGTTATTCCGCTTCTTTGATGCGGAAGGGCGCAGCTTACTAGCAGCATTCTGAGACTGCTTCGTGATGGCGCTGTTGCCCCGAATAGGGCGAGTGTGGGTGCCGGCACCAGCCTTGGTCGATTTAAGGGAGCCCTTCCCTGATCGGCCATGCGAATTGTAGGTGTCATTAAAATCATCCTCATCATCGTCATCATTATCGACGTCAGACTGCTGCACGGTACCGGCCGTGTCAAGCAGCATGTGCTTCTCCATGGTCTTCTTCACATCTTCATCAGCGGCTACTTCTGCCAGTCTCTGCTGGTTGATGGCTTCGCTGGGCTCCTCCTGCTGCACAACTCGCAATACACACTCGTCGAGATGCTCGTAGAAGTCCTGCGCGTTGCTGAAAGTCGCTGAGCAAGTAGAGCACTTGCCTGTGGCATCGTCACAGTAACCAGAGACCTTCTTAGAGGCAGCAGGGGTACGTTTTCGACAGTTGGGAGGAGTCTGCTCAACACCGTGAACCGATGTCAAATGTCGCTTGAAGACATCTGCTCGGTTGAAACTCTTTTCGGCTGCGGAGCCTGATCCAGGGCAGAAGCCACAGACCATTGTACCTTTGTAGTGGGTCAAGGTATGCCTGTTCTTGTCGTACTTGCGAGCGAAGCCTTTGATGTGGTACTCGCAGGTAACAATCGGGCATTTTTCCGGTCGCTCTGACTGGTGGGTGAGCATGTGCGCCTTGAGGTCCCTGAAAACCCGACCGCAGTCCGGGTGAGGGCAGCGGCCTTTCTCCCGACCCTCCTCATCCGTCTCAGCGGTACTGGCGACAGGGCTCTGCTGCGACGGTCGGGAATTGCTGGAAGATACTGATAACCGGCGTTCGTGGGCCGATCCCGAGCTTTGCTGGAAGCCATGTTGTGGCATGAAAGGCGAACTAGTCACCTGTGACTGACGTTGTTGTTGTTGTTGCACATGGTGTGCCTGGGGTAGAGGTGAGCCAATCGGAGAGGAAGCAAAGAATCCCTGAGGAGCCAGGGAGTATGATGTCTCTTCGGGGTATGATAGATTGCTAGGAGGGTAGAAGGATTGCTGAGGAGGCTGAATCAATGACGGGTCCACGGAGGCGCTGGGGAATTTGTCCTGGTGAAATAGCCTGTCGGCATCGACAATACTGCCTGTGTAGTCTAGAGACAACAAATCGGGAAGTACTGCAGTAGGCAGACCAAGACCATGCTGGGTGTCGATCCACTGGTCTTGCAGGCCATGGGTAGCTGCCGAATACGGAGATCCAATGGCGGATGACGATGCACTGGCAATTGACGGGCCGGAGAGACCTGGCATCGGCTGTTCTGACGATTGGGAAGTGGTCATCGATGGAGGAGTAGAGGGAACAGGCGGAAAAGTCATCTGTTGTTGGGTGTATGGCGTCGAATCGACATACAGGGCTGAGGAGTCCATGTAGGAGTGGGCTGGCCTCGCAAGGCTCTGGTTGTGAGCGTACTGCGAGTACTCGTCCATCCCGATCCCAAAAGGATCCGTCATGGTAGGATCCATTGAGAGTTGGGGATGGTACGAAGACTGCTGATTTCGGGATGATTCGAAAGCGAGCATTTCTGAAGAATAGGAAGAGCGGGGAGGGAAAAGGATGAAGTCAGACTCGTTTCTCTGACTTTGCATGCCCTCTGTGATGTTCGGGGCGGTCCGTGGTGGCAGGTGTTCGTGTTCGTGGACGGCAGCAATGTGCGGGAACTAATCTGCAGCGCACAATAATAGTCAGCTATCTGAGAAGGAATGTATCAAGTGTGCGCAACATATTTCTGCGGCTTTGTGTGTATGTCAGGAAGGTCATGGTTCTTTTCTTTTGCTTTTTCGTTTTCTTTCTCTTTCCCCCCAACCCCTCCCCTCCATCCTCCAGCTCCTAGCAGATATAGTATCCGAACTTGTGATACAAGTTTTAATGATGCAGTGCTAGCAGTAGAGGCGCTGGCGGAGTATGTGCTGTAGGAATATGTATTTCTTCCAAAGAGTAAAATAGAAACTCACTGCTATGCCTATGGACCCCGAGGGCTTATGGGAAGATCAGAACCAAGTGTGGTGCTTCGGTGGTGAACCAGGGGAGATAGATCGGAGATGTTTGGTAGTGATCGATGACGGTTCCAATGGCGGAAGGGATGTTTGATAATTGTAACAATCAACAGACATCAATGGCTCTGAGAATGGGGTAGAAGGAAGGAAGGATGTTGGTGTTTTGTATGTGAAGCTTTTTTTTTTCTTCTTCTCTTCTCTTCTTTTCTTTTTTTTCTTTCTTTCTCGATATAGTCGACTGGGGCCACCGCAGTGGACACTTTATTATTTTTTTTTTTGGAAGATAGGTGGAGAGGTCAAAAAAACAATGCGGTTATACGGAGATATTGTGCGGATACCAGAATGACAGCTTGACCCGCCGGTGTCACAAGAGGAACGAGGCCTCGAGCGAGTTGATATAGAACCAAAAAAAGATGACAGGCCAGACAGCGGAGACAATGTAAGGAGATGGACGGGGGGCGAAAAGCATAGATAAATGTTTTGTGATTGCTGGCCCTACGAGGAACAAGCCCGTCCTAGGCATCCAAACCACTGGAGCAGAGCAACTGCGCAGCGCAGCATTAGCGTGCTGGCCTAGTTGGACGGTGGAGAGAGAACAGGGGGTGGAGACAGAGACCTGGTCGGTGGTGGGCAGACTGGGGGGGCAGACGGTGGACTGTGGCAGGGTTCCCGGGAGGGCTTGCACTTTTCTGGCGGTGGCCCTGCGCTGCCCGTGGGTGATCTCGGGGCGCGACGCTGGGATTGCTGGGCCCGCAGACCGCTGCGACGGCGCTGGGGGAAAACACCCATGCTAGCTTGCCCATCCCGCAGCACGACTCGACACCCACCGGCACTGCCGCCGCCCCAAAACAGGCTAGCCCCGTATCGTACAACTCTACCCGGCTCCTGCCTTCCCCCGTCGGCCCAAACATCTCCCCCCCACCTCCGTCCATTCTAATTTCTGTTGTATCTCCGTCCGTTCGGCCCTACGAGGGCGGCGCCGAGCGTTCCTGCATCGTGCCGTACCACCGCCGTATGGTATGCCGTATGGTTATGGGTATTGTTACCGTCCCATGACAGAACAGGACAGGACACGACAGGACACGACAGGACAGGCCAGACCAGGACAGGACATGGTTCCCAGCAAAAGAAGATGATGAAGAAGAAGAAGAAGAAGAAGAGATTGTGTGAAGTGGAAGAATGCCATGGCCAGCACTTGCCGCTCCAGGCAATCATCGTCTCTGTCCGGGCGGCCAAGGAATGCCAGAGATCTCCGAGGGATCGATCGCGTCGGATAGCAGAGGATCGTAATGGCCCATCCGTCGCCTTACTCTGCCATACTGATTGTCGCTCCTCCTCCCGGAACTGCACTTTTGCATATCCGCCCGTCGGGCGTCGGTCAGTCCGTGTCCTCCTGTCAACATGATCCACTACTGCCAGCAACAGACAAGGAGAAACAAGATTATGATGTAAGCTGGCTGCTAGATAGTTAACTAAGTAGAGACCTCCTGCAATAATAATAATAATAATGGTCTTTCATGGTTCTAGAAAAGAATTGATGGCGCCAAAAGAGAACGGAGACTGCAGATAGTCCCACACCAGACTTTACCCCCTCCTTCAAGGAAGATAATTCATGCATTGCATAGAGTATGTAATAATACATACATAGCCCTCGACGGGGAGTTTTGGTATAATCCTAAACCAGTCCCTACAATTTAAATACTCCGATAATAAAGTGAGTTTAGAAAGAGAGAGAAAAAAAAACAAAAAGGCCAACACGATGGCCTTAGCTAGTAGTCTAACAATAAGCCCAGCGACCGCCAGGGATGGTTCTCAAATAGACAAATGCAGATCCGGATTGGAAAATCAAATACACGGTTATGGGCGACCAGGGTTGATGGTGAGAAAGCGCCCGAAGCGTCCCGTCGATTTGGGTCAAGATTTGTGGGAGAGATCAGTGGTTGCACGGGCGAACAGGAGCCTCCCGCCGGCGCGCTGATTGCTTGGCCCCAGGAACCCCACCTGGGTTTACCCGTGGCTTGGGGCGATGATCTCTGGCTGGAGAGAACTATAGCGCACTAGCAGCTTTGGGGCAAAGCGCAGTTGACCGGGTTCGTCGCATAACTGGCGGAGACTCCGTGCTGGGTAAAATGAGTCCGGAAGGGATGTTCGATGCCTTCTCCCCAATCGAGAGCCTCAGATGGCCGTCAACAAGTTGCGCGTGCGGTACCACGGTCGACGTGGACGTGAAAATCTCCAGTTGCGACGCTTCTCCAGGAAAAAGGAGGGGGAACCTGTGGGACAGCGTTGTAAGCAAGCAGTGAATGCGATGGAGTGTACATTATTAGTTATCCCATCGCAATGGCAGAGGACTCCGATCGGGACGGGTACATGACCGTACCGGACACCCGCCTGGCGAACAGGTTCACGCAAGGCTGCGACCTCGCAGATGACTCGACCGCGACACTGGTGCAAAGCGGTGATGTCGATGCAATGGACCGGCGGCTCCACGATAGTAGTTAGTATCTACATGCTTGACGGACACGCCGGCCAAAGTCGATGATCGTGACTGGAGCCGTCATGTAATAGTTCGTTAGTTGTACTCTACTGCACATGGCAAGCAGCGCGACAGTTTTCCTCCCTCAAGGTCGGTGAGCAGTCGGTCTCCGACAAGCCTTAGCGCCACACTTTTCTTGGCCCACATGACTGAGCCACATCCGTTGACCAATAGCATGCGTTGTGGTCCGCCCTGCTGCCCTTCCATTGGCGCTCAGACTGTGGCCGGCACCGCCAAATGACGCGAACGAGGCGCAGCGGTTATTTTTACACCGCTCTCCCTTCTCCTCAATGTCGGACGTCAAGAGTCGACAACGGATGGCGGACCGCAACGCCTGTCTCCCCTCCATGCTGTCAAAGTCATAAAGTGCGCTCCACTGCAGACAGCAAACGGCGGCACCCGTCCGACGTCTGCTCGATCGAGTCATACAGTGTAGGCACAGTAGGCATGACGCATCCACGATGCAGAACGTATGGCACTTCTTGACCGATGCCTTTTGCCCTGTATGCCCATCACCAGCGGGCTCTACTGACGTACGGGCTTCAGTTCTTGCGGTGGAAGACCTTCCCTGCACCGCAGCCCTATCGCCCAGGCGGTGGAGTCCGTCACGGATCGTCCGAGTCTGGACCACGGAATGCATGCGCCCCCTGATTAGGAAGGCAATGACGAGCGTGTATCGTACCCAATGCCAATAGCCTACCGCGATCGTGGAAGGGTGACGGGACCAGAAGATCTGGATCTTCATGGGGTAGTCTTGAGGCTCATTTTGGAATTTGTAACTCTTAAGTCACGATGGAAATCACCCTTCATTTCCAGCAAGAATCATGAACTCGTGATGGACCGACTACTCTCTCATGGCTGTCCTCGGTATCAAATTAAATCAATCAATATTACGGACTTTTCCGTACTCGTACAGTTAGCAGACCATGGAGTGGGCCCCTCAGCCAGAAGCGGGTAAGACTTGTCCCCGATGGCCCTGATCGGTGCTAGCGCGAGCCCCAGAGCCGGCAAGACGGACGCTTGTGCGTTTGTCGGGATTGTTTACACTTTACCTTTCTCAGGGGCCGCAACAAATGGCAGCAACAATAATGAAAAGATGAATCTTTGATAGTTGATTTCCTTTTCCCGCTGATATTGTGCTATACTATGACAACGAGGCTTATCTTTTCCAAGACTTCCAGCTCCATATCGTGGTTTGGTATATAGTGATGTGCTTTTCTCGCGTGTTGCTACCAACATAAGCTAGGATCATCCGCACTGTTTGCCGCCAGTTTCAACTTGAGAGCACTAGAGATATAGCTTGCGGTTGACAGCTAGGTGGTCAAGAGCCCGCGCACGGCCACAGACGATCTGGTGCTTCTTTTCTTCGGATGTCAAATGTCAAAAAGGTCGGTCGGATTAAGCGAAGTAAATATGGATCCCTCATTGCCGGTTTCTATTCAATGGAGTAAACTCCTCATTTCTTCATAAAGATGCTAATGCATGTGTTTTTTTCTCGAATAGGATCATTATAAGTCCGGGAATCAGACGTCTCGCCACAGCTTTTCCTGCGGTGTATGCTGGAGAAATGGCTCCTGGGAAGAACATCGTCTCGCACTCGACTTACGGAGTATTATGCAGATCACGCAGTCTCACGGCTTCTCGTACACTGGATACCACGGACTGGAAATGAAGGTCTGAAGGTACGGCTACAAAGCCAGTCGTTGGTTGGTGCGCTCCGACGGAGCGGAGCCCGTATTGTAACGGACCTGGACAGGATGAACCCATAGTTAAGTCCACATCTTGACCATTCCCATGGCTAATTCCACGTGGATAGTCCCTTCGCCGGGACAGCAACGTGCTTACGCCTACGCACGGGGCTCTGATGTCCAGGAACCGAGAAAGACGGGTAATGCTAGCTCGTGTCATATTCTCCAAGACTGTCTGTCCTCTAGACTCTAGTACTAGAGTAACTGAGACCTACGCTGTCCAAAGCCAAGGTTAGTTCGCCAATGGTCTGATAATTTCAGGGATGCCTTTACTTGGCCTCATAGCTTTCCAAACCTGGCGCTTTGGCAGAAGATGAAACAGGACGATACTGGATGGTGCACAACAGGAGCCTGTGTGCGATGTGATTGGGTGTGGTGGTTGAGCATATCGCTCATGTGTTCAAGGTTACCTAAGCTCCCCCAACTCGCAAGCCTAACTTACCCCGGAAGAAGATCGGCGATCTCATGATGCAGACGCTATTTTTACCAACCATGAGCGCTACACGACTACTGAAACAGCTTAGGCTGCCTTTTTCTCCTGCATCTTCCACGAGAAATCGGGCTCGAAGACGCATGATTGCACTTCACGCAAGTAATAATGACCTCGTTTATTCGTACCACTGCCGCTCTTGGCGCAGAGCCTGTTGATCCTGGGATTCCTGCCAATCTGGCATTCTCCCCGTCTTCCATTGTGCTAGCGCTAGCAGGGATGCTCTCTTCTCGCTCCCTATTTTTGGCTCCTATGGCAGACTCGCTACTACTAGCGTGGGAAGGTTTCTCGCTCATCCTAGATCGTTGCTTTTCCCTGCGAAATCTGAGAGACCCCATTGTCATTACCCCGGAGGTTTCATCTCTATAGTCAGACCTTATTTTATCGCCAGGCCATGTCTCATAAAATTACGATACGTATACTTCTATGCGGGCTGATTCGTATAGTTTCAGTCACCACCGTTCTCACGTCGGCTGCAATTGTTATTGATGCGTACACGTGCCCGTGGACTGGCTATGAGAAGGGGCACTTATAACTATCAGATTTCATTTCCCGCCAGCGCTCGATCTAGACTCGTCGTTATCAATCAGCATTATGAAACTTTGTAGACCCACGGAAAAGTCTCCGCGCGAGTGCGGATAGCGTAAAAGAAGCCAATACTTGCAACAAGCGAAAACAAGAAAACGGACAGCTCGAATTTACCCTGTTTGTCGATCATTTTGTTGAAATTCACTCAAGGCCACGCCATCCTGCGGAGCGTCCGCGTCTTAGTTTCTGGTATCCGGATTTTCTATGTCGGAAACCGTTGTGGTTTCTGACTCTTCAGTCCGGCCGTTTATACCGTAGACGGAAGTCCTCCGATCTTCCCGAGCCATTTTCGCGGGGATAAGAAAAACCCACGGGTTCATCTCAAGCCGGCCCTCTCACCTCTACCATGGTAGCAGACACGACACGACAATCAATCTAGGTAAACTAGTTTAGTTCACTAGTTACTGATTTGCGGGATGTTACTCATCCGTTTCTGAACCATGGTAGATAGCAAACCATCTCTCTCGCTTTCGCGTGGTTCCAGCAAAGAACTACGTAACTCTATATCACTACCGTACTACCGTGTCTCGGCATAAACCAGAGCGCAGCCCTACCGATTAACCATAAGCGGGGACGGAACAACCAGATTTCGCAGCTTCGGGAACAGCCCAGCTTGTAAGTACTAACTAATTACGGTTAATAGTCAACTTGTTATGAGTAATACTTTATTCATCCTCCGTCGGGACCACCCAGCGGCTTCACAATAATGAGACATGACGGTCTTGTCACTTGTGCTTTTAGTTAGTTTAACTACTGGGCCCCAGATAACTAAATCGCATTATTCCGAGCATGTCCGAGATTAGACCTTGAAGATGATCATCAAAATGAGAGTGTTCACGCTTTCATCAGACTACAGTACTACAACAAGTGAAAAGGGGGTCTGTTCATCCTTGCGCTGATCTTGAGATCATCCCCTTTCTCGTGATTTCCTAAATAGAGTATTATACTCATTTTATTTGTAGTATGTAGTGTAATTGTTCAGCCTCAGGATGGTTAATCACAGGTGTTGACAAGAAGGTCTATATCTCCAGTTCGAATCACAATGCTCAGTCTCTTACTTTCATTTTTTCTACTAGATATCCATCTAGCATAATTTCTCAACTCGAGCATTGTATTGCTCATTTACTCGTTTCACTTCTGTTTTCTCTATCTAGTAGTACTTTTGTGCTCCAAGCGCGTGTGCGTACCCGACCCTAAATGCCTCTCTCGACATCATACATACATGCATGCATGTAATCAATTTCATGCATTAACCTCTTCCAGTCTCGCGCACTCCTTTATCCCATCTTTCCGTACCCTAATACAGCCCTAGAAGGCTAGCATTTCTGCAGATTTCCTGATCCCTGTATCCGAGCGCTTGCGGTTATTATTACCCTGTATGATTGGATGGGATACAGCGCAGCCAAAACTGGTGTCTTGGGGCATTCATTTTGCTTCTGGGAATTTTCAGGAGAAGTTGGTTTACTGTTGTACGGGATGGGATGGGATGGAATAGTATGCAGGTGGATTCTTACCTGTTGCTTACTTGCGTAGGGGTGCGACCGCATGGAAGGATTCTAGAATGAGGGGTTCAGGCGTCCCGGGGATTTTTGATTCGTGTAGGTAGGGAAGTGGGTGGAACGAGTAAATACGGTCTGCCAGAAGGAAGTTGGGGGCTGGTTGCGCCTTGCTTCTGCCTAGGCCATTCTGTATTATTATTCCAATCTAGAATCTCGGGGTGTAAGTTAGTTACCTAGTTAACTACCTACTGTCTGATGAGTGAAGTTCCAGATCCTTCAAGACATGCATAGATAACATCTTCACTGGCATCTAAGAATAGAATCGTCATTGTGGATAGTACATATCTCGGCTACGATTGCATGCAATGCAGAAATAAGCCCTTGCCGGTCTGCCTGTCTCATCGCAAGGTCGAATCGCGTGTCTGGAGAAACGACCCCCATTCATTACTGCATCTCCGCCACGTGGATGCCACGAGGTGTGTGCATCAACATTATTTGTCGTTTCGGACCCCAACTTTGACTTCACGCATGGTGGGAATGAAAGTCTCTGTTTTAGAATCATGTTGTATGCAGATATATGTGCATACGTTACTTGAGTTAAAGGGTCCCACAGGCTATATTCAGTATACTCTATGTATAAATATGCAACCCAATCAAGTCGTTCGACAACATCATATACCGTCCTCTCCCTTCTCATCCAAGGAAATTCTCCTCTCGATTTCTTCTAGTGCCAGATAGGTACAGAGTACGACTCGCCACGTGGGGGCCAGCGCGAAGGATCAAAAAGAAAGAGACCGGCCCCATGTTTCACCCGCACCTGTCCGACAGGGCTATGAGAAAAGACTACGATGGAAGGACCTTCCATAATAGTAGGCTTGAAGAAGGCCAGTTAGTTATCTTGGCAATGGAAAGACTAATGGTGCAAACGAAGTCAATGTTGCGCTATTGGCCCCCATATTGCTATTATACCTTGCACCTTATGCAGGGTGAAATATAGATCCACATGTTGGGGGACATAGGGCAATTGACCAACCATATCCTGATTCCTGAGTCTGGAGGACGGAGATCTGCAGTAATCCCCCGGGTGCCACGTGTTGGGGGGAATTTTTTTTTCTCTTCATGACTATCTTGCAGGATTCTCATCTCTGGGGTTGGAGGATGTCATCGAGAAGGCCGGGGATATCTTTCTCGGGCGCTAGTAATAATGGGCGTAGGGCGATGATACCGGATTATAACGTACCCAAGGGGGTAATTTACTATATAGCGTACAAGAGCTGTACAATCGGACTTGAGTAGAGATAGAAGACTTCTTGACCTGATACTTTCGAGGAAAAGTTATGTTTGGTCGCGGTTTTGGTACTCAGCCCAGTAATACCTAGTTCCAATACCTAGTTCTGACATGCACTTCTATGTACTGTAT